GTGTTTACATACGCTCATGTAAAATGGTTTTGTGGCCAATAAGAGCGCGCGTACTATTTGAACTATTTTATAAAGTGTCGTGCTAGTGAAAGCGGAAATATTTCGAAATCCAATGTGGGGGTGTGTAAAAGTTATTTGCGGGAGAGAGACATTCAGTAGGGTGATGGCGACAAAGGAAAAAAAAAAAGAAGAACTGTATTATTTCTGCAAGAAAGCGGCAGCAATGCAGGAGATCAGAGCTTGTGACGAAGTGACCGATTCATCCTTCCTTCGACAACCTGAGCGGATGTCATCTCTTGACTCTGATGATAACTTCAGCTCAGGTTGACGAAAGGTCAGTCACCACTACACTCACCCAGTCGATCAGACTACATTATCACATGTAATTTAGTGTTAAAAAATGAGTTCAAAACGTAAATTAGCCACCGTAAAGGCTAAAAAAGCTGACGTTTCGAGCGTTAGCCCTTCGTCAGAGCGATCAATCGCTCTGACGAAGGGCTCAGCCGTTGTATTGAGGACATTCAACTCTCAAAATCACCTCGGCAGTTCTATCAGCCTTGTACCTGGTTATAAGTCTACGCTAAGGTTGTAGCTTCAGTTCTAGTTCGAACAAACGCTTAAATAAGTAATTTCTTCTGTCAACCATAACGACTAGGGATAGTCTTCTTGGTCAATTGTGCTCTCACCTGGCGTTCAGGGCAAAAATTTCATGTAAAGCGCGTACTCTATTTCTGTCCCTTTCAGTCTCCTTTTTGTTGTCTCAACCAGTTCTGCTACAATTTTTGCTGTCTTCTACTCAAAGCAAATTCTTTCACCTCACTTCTTGACCATTCTCACCGACTCTGACCCTGATTCTCTTACTAACTTGTTTGTGCACACGTATACATATACTAGCGTGAGGCATGAGTGAACATGACCTTGGAAGATTAATCACTTATCAAACTACCAACCCAAACAATTTTGCAAGGATGTAATGAATGAACAACAACGTACTTAATGCTTTCGATCAAACTATCAATCTTTGACAACAGGACCTTCAGCGTGGGTCCAAATCAAAGTCAATAGATAAAGACGGTACGTCCACTTACGGAAGTTAGACGAGAAAGTCAGAATCAGGCAACTCATCATTACAACTAAATATACTAGCGCGAGGCACGACTGAACATGACCTTGGAAGATTAATCACTTATCAAACTACCAACCCAAACAATATCGCAAGGATGTAATGAATGAACAACAACTTACTTAATGCTTCCGATCAATCTATCAATCTTTGACAACAGGAACTTCAGCGTGGGTCCAAATCAAAGTCAATAGATAAAGAAGGCATGTCCACTTACGGAAGTTAGAAGAGAAAGTCAGAATCAGGCAACTCATCATTACAACTAAAAACCAAATAGCTTCGGACTTAAAATCAAAATTATAACTAACACTTTAAACACACATTTGAAAATTGTTCCAAGATGACCTAAACGCCACCGACGCTATAGATGACAAAGACACATGATGTAAACATCAGATCCTCTACATTTATTTAGAAAACATTCAGATTTAAAGTACTTTACAAAAAAGTTGTTTGCTATTTACAAAAACATAGACCAAATTTCTCAATCCTACATCAGACCTATCTTTTCACTTCTTCGCAGTACTAACGCTTAGCGTAATGCTTTCTCAGTTAACGTTTCGATGCTTTCCTTTTTAAACTTCTCCGGCAAAGGACTGGAACGTGAGAGGACATGATGTGAAGTCATGGGTCACATGGTTTCGATGTGACTTGAATCTCCGGTCCATCAACAGAGTGGAACACGACCCTGTCACATCACAAGGGCTTTGTGTCACTTGTTTCTGGAAGCAGCCAGTACTTTCGCCATCAAATCCTGTAATAAACATCAGATTTTTAAAAATTTATTTCACTTATACCATTTACAGGACTTAATAAAGGTAGCACCTGTTGTATAAAGGGGTAAGTTTCTCTTCTGACGAAGGGCTAACGCTCGAAACGTCAGCTTTTTTACCCTTTACAGTAGTTAATTTACGTTTTCAACTCAGTTGTTAACACTAAATTACCTAGCATCTGTTGTAGTTGGTTCGGTATTGGGTACACTACACAAAATCAAAGTGCGCCTAATCCTAAACATTTCCCCCAAGCCCCCTCATACTCACCTGCGTAACACGAATGCTGTCAGGGGGTGGCATCCCCAGTCCACCTCGACTGATTGACTCATCATCACTGTCGTCATCAACACGGCTTCTCTTCGCTGTAGGGGAGTCCGACCTAAAATTTTATTTAGGGTAACAAATCATAAAAAGTATGAAATTTTAACAAAACCTGCCAAGCCAGTGGACCACACTACTCTAAGGAATTGTAAAAATAGGCTATAACTGCATCCATTCCTAGTATCATGTTATGTTTCAAAGCAAACCTTGATAAAAGTTTCACTCTCTGTTGTTTATAAGTAGGGCAATGCAAGTAATTAAAAACAATAATTCATCAAACTAACTACCTTTTCTCTCCTTTTGATTCAAAAAACTTTCTGGTTTTTCCAGTGTGCACTTGGCTTTCAGAAGCAGACCTGTTTAAAAGAAAAACAACAAAAACCTCTAATGAATGCCCAACAGGATGAATGGAAGTTAATCAACTCTGTGATTTACAGCCATGGAAAGGGTGTGGAAGCAAATACAATCTAACCACCTTGATGCCCAAAGCTTCGGATAACTGTCCCGAGGTCGAATGTCCAAGGACACATTACTCAACATTTTGATGTAAAAGCACGTATCACGCCTCGAATTAATGAATCACTGAAGTCCAGAGGTTAACGGCGACGAGGACACTTACTCGTTTGCTTCCAGTTCATCACCGGGATTTGTCTTCTTCAGCATGCTGATGAAAAGTGATGCCTTTCGTCTTCTCTCAAGTTGAAGCTGTTTGTCACGTGATTCGGATTCCAAATGCTGAGCTATAACGAGAGCAAATTGTTATATCCTTCTATTATTACGTACCTGCTTGATCAATTTAGTGGGTTATACCCTGCTGCATACTTAAATCCAAAGCTCCTTCCTTTGCCAAAATCTCTTGCTATTAATCGCCCATTGTTCTTAACCTTCGTGGGTAAATGAATAAATCCTGTTTCTCAAAATGTGTTGGAACATGCTGACGACTGAACAACCATTTCGAACTGAGTTGCTTTGCTTCAGTCAGTCATTTGAAAGCGCTCGGCATGACCAGAAATTGTTTCCCAAACCCATCAGAGAGATATAGTAAGTACCTCACTATACTCGTTTTCTTGGTCCGCTCTGTACGTTACTGATCATGGCCTCCTTTTTTTTTCAATCGATTAGTGACCCACGTGCTGTGAGCTTGGGCCACATATCGAAGGCAAAAGTCCACCAGATTACGATCTTGCGAACATTGTTGAAACCAAAGCAGAGCTACTAAAGTATTTAATTGTGTAGACTATTCCCTAATATCAACCTCATCCACCATAAAATTAATAAGCAAATACGTACCAATTCTCTCCGCCGCCTTAATAGAATCCATTTGTTGGTTCAAGTCCTCCGTAGATTGCTGACTGGTGTCTTGACTAAAGCTTGACTCTGAAAGTTTGTTTACATCCTCCTTTTCTCCGCCGGCTTGTGATATCTCCTTAGTGTCGGTCTCTGTTTCTGCATCATCAGCATCCTCATCACTCTGTCCTTGTTCATAGCTCTGTTTGTATATAACACTTGTCCTGTACTCTATTTTGGGTTTCTTCACATCCTTGGCCTTGATTGAGAAACTAATAGGCCCTTTAGGGACCTCAACTCGACTTTTGTCATTTTCTGCAATCAATAAACAGAACAGTGTTAATTAAGAATCAATTCAAAGGATTTTAACCTAGCAATTTAAGATGTATTATGTAGCACAAGACTCTGGCTCGGTGTTTATTGTGGTGCTGTCCGGTTTTCAAGTATAAAGCAACTAGGAGTACCACTTAACCTCCTGAATAGGATATTTGTCCATTATAATCCCGAAGTATTTCATCGGGTTCTTCATGGGCAACATGTTCACCTCATGGACTAGTGCTTCACTCTGTATTAACCCCTTACACCCAAGGAGTGATCAGTATCTATCTTATCCTTATCTATCCAGCTGAATCACTCATTAAGATCATGAAAAGAAATGCCATGATGGCCGACCTAAAAAGCTTTGATTGTTAAACAAATTCTCCATGTCCGTTCCACAGGAAATGAGTACAGAAGAGTATGGAGAATATGAATACTGATTTCAAGTGTAAAGGGTATAAAGGTCCAGGTTCAAGCCCTGAGTGAGGTGATGTATTGTGTTTTTACGACACTTTCCTCTCACATTACCTATATCTAACCAAGAGTGTAAATAGGTATCCCCACACTTTCAGGAAGAGCTGATGAAATTCATGCAACTAAAACTTGAATAATTATTTCAAAAGATTTCCCTGAAAGATTACTGGTATCCATTTGTACTCCTTGGTAGAGAGAGGAATTGTGAGAGTGTAGTGTTTAACAAAAGAAAAAAAACAAACAAACAGTGTTCTTAACAGCTACCAAACATGCATACTTGGTAATTTACTTGTTCCTCTGTTTACTTAGCATGGTGACACAAACCTGTTTCTCTTCGTTGTCGAGCAGCTTCAACAGCCTGTTGTTTTTTGAGCTGAAAATAACTGTAATGGGAGTTCCAGGGGTTCAAGAACTCAAAGCGAGGATCATTCTTAGCTTTGATAATTTCTTCAAAATCTGGACCATTCTTGGCAACATAATTTGCCAGCTTATCCACAATGGGTTGAAGATCGGGAGGTGGAGGTATGATCTGCTCTGAGACCAGAGCTACTGCGGAGACTCCAGGAGGAGGGGGAGGAGGTGCCACTGGCCCGGACATTTCAACACTGCTGGGAACAAAGATACCTGGAGGGGCTGGAGGTGGGGGAGGGGGAGGTAAAGGAGGTACTGAAGATGTAGAATCCAACCACTCTTCTGCAAGCAACAACAGTTCATAAAAAGAGGGTAAAAACATTTATGTCAAGGATAGAAAAACAATCCATACAAGCATATGTTTTGTTCATTTAGGCCCTTTGACTTTGCATGGACTGAATTGAATTCAGTGAGTTATTAAGTAAAATTAAATGTGAAGTACAGCATCAGAATCAATTTCATGTAGCATGGCTGATTATATTGGTATTACATTGGTATTACATTTAAACAACACTGAACTTTGCAAGAGACAAGTAACATACCCTCTAATGGACCTTCCCCTGGGGGTGGGGGAGGAGGTGGAATCATATCCGCTACAGACAAGACTGGCGTCACAGGAGGAAGGTAGGTATAGCCACTAGTTGATCCATACTGTGCATACATATCTTCTGAAATAAAAATTTTTTAAACCATTTTGGAATTTATATCACTCTAAAACGTTTTATAATTCACTTCATAATAATTATTTCTCTCCAAAGCAGCTGTCTTGAAAAAACTCACTAAGGAATACCGGTTCTTACTTCAGTAAGTAAGGATCACTCTTAAGATTCTCAAACTGATGACAGGTATTTTTTTTTGTTGTTGGATATTTCTGTGAATTAGGTATTTTATAAAGATAAAAACTCCAAAAGAATGTAGTTGATAATTTTATAAATTCTCGTCATCAGCCTGCCTGACACTTAGGAAAAATTGGTAGGAGAATTCAATTTTGTCACCCCTGGGAGTCAAAAGGTTAAAAGTTCATGTCCACACAGAGAATTTAAATGAACATTTTAATACACAAACCTTGTGAATACCACATGCTGTAATCATATGACTCATCAGTCTCACTGTAATTCTGCAAGTCATGAGTACTGCCATTATCCTGTGTTGCAGAAACTGATGACGAACCTATTGCCACTGGAGCAAATGTCCTACTAAACTTATTGCCAAGAGTGTCTGGCAATGGAGATGATGATGCTGATGATGGCTGTGATCTTGGTCTTGTAACCTTCTTGTGAAGCGACGCAGCTAACAATGGATGCAGTTCATACTCTCCATCAGATTCATCCTCACTCTCACTTTCTTGAGCCTCTGGCTGAGGTTCAGGCGATGGCTGCTTTGGTATGACTGGGTTATACTTTCCCTCCATGATATACTTAAGAACATGCTGATAGTATGGGTTCAACCAGTTGTCAATGAGCAAAAAGTCAAATTGAGGGTTTCCAGACTGCTTGGCTTTGACCAAGATTTCCATTTGTTTCCCTTGTTTAGCAACAAACACAGCAGTCCTTTCAATAATGGCTTGCATTTTGGCTGTCTCAGGCTAGTAGGAGAAGACATAAAAATCCAATTATAACCCATCTCAGATATTATTTTAGTCATCAGAAGACAACAGAATAAAAGCTGCATGATCATATTAAAGTAAGTTAATAAAAAGCAATGTTGTGATCACAGAAAATACAATTTCACATGTGAGTTTACAGGGATTTTAGAGCTTAGCTCCATTTGAGTATAGGATTCTCAATAACCAGGCTTTGTGGAAACTTGACCTTCACATGGTTTGTATTTTTTGTGATAAGATTGATTACTTTAGGAATCTTTCCACTAAGTAACTATACAATTCACCAGACCTGTAGAGCATTTGCAATAGCAGCACATATGCCTAGTAAGGCTTTTTTAGTTTAATCAGTCTTGTGATTTCAGTTTTTTTTCAACCGATTGGCATTTTTTCTTTTTTTTCCCAGGTTAAAAAATCACAGTATTAAGACCAAAGTACAATGCAATTATAAAATTAATGGAACTTCTAGTCAAAATGTGCACTTCCTATGCCCAATGTTTCTTGTTCCCCTATCCAACTGATTAAAAAGCCCTTGACCAAAAAAGCATATTTAAACCACAACATTTCCATTTGCCATTAAATTTCATTTGAGTCAGACAAAAACCATTAAAGACATCATGGTAAAGCTGTTGCATATTCCACACAGAAATTGGAAAAAACACTTGTCCATATGATTACATTTGCATTTGAAGTCTCTGCCATTCATGATCATCTCTTACTGTTTGTAGATGAATTCCTACTGAAGAAACAAACTGTCTGGACATGTTAGTAAAGCCAGGTATACTTTTTTTTTTCTTTTACTACAGAGCTACAGAGTACACTGTGGATACATACAAGCATACCTTTCCCTGATAAGAGAACAAAATAATTTCTCTGTATGTACCTTTTTTTGTTGTTTTTTTTAAGATCCATTTAATTTTGGCCAACAATTGCCAGGAATTTTACACCAATGCTGTTGTTTGTCAGTTTGTGTTTGTCTACTCAACACATATGAAGTATATAATTTAATTTTAAAAAAAGAATCCTAATGAAAAAAAGTAAGAGAACCAAGAAATACTTTTAAAAATTTCAACATTCTTGAAAAGTTTGCAAATTGTGTTGCTAAAATCAGCAAGTACTCTCCTATGAAAATCATACTTTTTTGGCTGATTGTTTTAAAAATATTTGACCTCAAGTGTAGTTGTCACATTAAATAAATAAAATTTTGTAGTACAGTCTGGTGCAATTTAGAATGACTCCCTAATTTTCACTGGATATCTCTTTCCATTAAAAGATTAAGCAAATCAGCCAGTTCCATTTGTTTTCATTCCATTGTTGTCATAATCTTATACAATGACTTGCAACATTATAAGTCTAGTGACTGCATTACCATATTCAATTGGTGATTTATCATTAAAAGATGTATTGTGCATCAGAGATTCTTTTCTTATCTCCAAAAACTTGCTGTAATGAGTATTACATGAAAGTATAAGACTACCTCATCACTGAATTTAACCATGGTTTTCTATAAACTAGAAAATCAAGGAAAACAAAAGCTGCTGCAAATAAGACTTCCTGAAATAGAAATCACACACATCATAAGAAAACAACAAAAGAATAATGAGGGCAATTAAATAACAACCTTCTCTTGTTTGCCCTTGACACTTACAATCTCCATATCTGAAGGTATTTCCAGATCTTCTGGAGGAACAAAAGGCTCTGGTTGTTGAACTGGATGTGGTTGAGGTAGTTTAGGAGAAGGTGACACCATTTCTTCTTGTGCACTCTGTGCTACAGAAGAGTTAGCTTTTCTTGCTTGGTATAAAAGGGTTCCTGTAGAATAACAAAATAAACTGTGATCAACAATGAATGGCAGATTTCAGGCATTTTTTTCAAACAAGCTCATCAACTGATTATGTAAGTAGTTTGAATTTTTTCCCCTTTGTTTCACAGTCACAAAGCCAGGAGATGATTCTTGTTTTCCTTTTAAACACGTATCTTAATCTTCTGAAAACCTTATGATCTCAAACCTTATTTATAGTAGCTGATTACATCATACTCATTTCTGAAACACTATTTTTAGAAGCAGGAACATTCTAGATGCTAATGATGACATATCTTTAAAATAACTCTATAGAATGTTCCAGAATATGGAGAAGTTTCTAGCTCAGCTTATGCAATAGTGTTGTAGTAAATCAATGATCTATTCATTTCTAGAGACTTTGTTACATCTACAACCACAAAACACAAAGCAGACTAAGGTATTTTGAAACAATTTGGATACTAAAATTAATTTTAAATGCATTGTACACCATACATGTTCTGAAAAATGAAAATCTAGAAAAGTTTTTTGCTTGCACTTGGGAACCCTCATCTCTGAGCATTTCTGTATATTGTAGATGTTTTAACCCTTTACACCCTAAAACCAGTAAGCATATTCTCCATACTGCTCTTTATACATTTCCTAAGATGCTGACAAGGAGAATTTGTTTACCAATCAAAAGCTTCTTTCATTTGTGATCATTTCCTTTCTTCTCATGACCTTAACATGTGATTCAGAGGTGATATTGTAGGGAGAAATTTGATGCTAGTCACTCTTCAGGTCTAAAGAGTTAAATGCCAGTCATGTGACGAAAATACATACATAAAAGTAAGATGCTTTGAAAAGTTCTTTTGTATTTACAATCATACCCTGCAAATAACCAGCACACGAAAAAACGTTCAGTTATGTGCAAACCTTCTCTTGAAGTCGTTTCATAACTTGAAACACTTTGTGGATAGTGGAAGCTGTTTTCTGGTGCACTATAGTCATAACTGAAAGCCACTGAATTGTAAGCACCATCTTCACTAAGGGCTTGCTGGAAACGTTTCATTTCCTCCTCTTTGGAAATAGGAAAAATTGAGAGTATCAGTTATAAGATACATTTAATTTATAAGTAAAGATAAAAATCATCATGTGTAAGATGACTTCTACAGTACAAAAGATTCATTCTAAAATTCACCACTTTTTCACATTACTTTTAATCTATCATATATTAATAGTTAATGACAGGATTTTACTATTTTGTTATGAAGTCATCTCACCAAGAAAGATTAGGAAAAAACCCAAACTATGAGATCTGTCATATGCTAAATCAAAGGTATAACAAAAACTTTTTCAAGTCAGGATAAAAATATCCTAATTAATGATTCAGTGGGTTGACATACAACTATTTCATACATTGATATCCATGTACACACTGCAAAATATCTAGGAGTAAATCATTTATTTCAAATAAGAAAAATCAGTTTCATACATAACCTTCCTATTACAGCTTACCTTGCTGTAATTCATACTCCTGTGTGTCATGATGGAGGTCCAAATACCTTTCTTCATCAAAACGTCTTTCCATCTCCTCTTCTTCTGGTGTAAGGACAGGAGGTGTTTGAGATGGTTTGGAGACAAACTGAGCCTTGTCTGTAAACAACAGACGTGCATCATACCTGGAATTAAGCCATGGGGAAACTAATGAGTGGAGAGCCATTACTGTACCCATGCAGCAACATGTATGCTTATTGATGTGTCAATGGCTTAATTTATAAATCTAAGTCCCGTCTCTCATATTTGATCTCTGAAATGGTCTGAAGCCTTCAAGTTTGACCAACATCTAGAGCTTGCATTCCTACACCACAAAAATGTTTTGCCAATCTGCAGAATACAAATCCAGCAAAATTCTCAAGCAACTGGGTATTCATAGAACCTGCATACATCTTTATCACAAGGTGTAATTCTCAGATCACCAATGATAAACAATGTACACTACAATATTTTTAAATTCACCAAAGTACTTACCACCATTTATTACTTACATTGTACTTCTCCTCTGACAGAAAACTTACCGTGATGCATTGAAGTTCCTCATCACTTGCTATCAATGATCCGAAGGGTTTAAATTTTTTGATCGACGCAGTTAACGTAAAAAATTGCATTTCTAAGAATTTTTCATACAATACCCTTCGATTCTGTCAAGACTCTGTATTTGTAGCACAAAAATGGTAAGCTCAAATCGAAAAGTTTTTATCTGGGAAAATAGATCACTGATTTACCTCCATTACCCTTTAAGTGCAAATCCTCGATGAACAGTTTCTTCTGAAATAAATCGAGGAATATTCCTCATCTCACAATAACAACGTTCACAAATAATCATGAAACGTGATTTCAAAGTCAAGAACGAAGTTTTATTAATCTTAACCAAACAAAGTTTCATATCAAACAGACCTGTCGATCAGAAGGGATTCATCGCCCATCCACGGTATCAGGCTCTTTTCTTCATCAAAAGAAGCAGCCGTTTGATTGTTCTCGAACAACTTGCACGCATAACCGAACACAAGCAAATCATCTTCTTTCCTTCGAGGCGGTCTTGCACCTTTTCGCAAATTCGACTGACCATTTATACCGACTTCATGTGGATCGAACAGCACCGACATTGTCCCAGTCTTATAAAGAAAGTCCAAAAAGACATTCCGCAACTGTCCTTCTTCGTTTTGTAATTATTCCTTCAGACATACTGGGAAAAACTCACCGATTTACAGAGAACAGAGCAAACAACATGGCCGCCGCTCACGACGTCATGTAACGTCACAGTGATTTCCCTTGTATTATCCCACAAGTCTTTGCCGGAGAGGAAAGCACTGGACCTTCTTATTTCGTACGCCATCCGTCCGATTTCAGACGCTTTCGTACGTTTTCGAACGTTAGACAATATTATCCGACCGATTTGGGACTGTGCTCTTAAATTTCGGACACTTTTCTTTTGATTAACTATTGAGGAAAGAACCATTTTAAATTCCTGGGAGAGGTAGAACACTACAAAAATGTCGAAAATACGAACTGTGATTTGACCAATGGCTCGTAATTTGAAGTAACTTGTAAAAAAAGACAGAATCGTAAAGTAAACATGGACATAAGGGATCAGTCAATTAATACTGAATACAATGGCCAAGTGGCCACTTCTGCACAACAGCCATCTCACTTCAAATTTTCAGGCCGTTTATTTTCTTTCTGGGCCCGGGGTGGCCAATCTCAAAAACCATATGTTAAGCTTGTAATTAACAGTTGACCTTGTAATCAAGATACTGTGTTTGTGGCATTCCCTTGCCGACCTATCAGTAAAGTTATAAGACCGAAATCATGGTTTCATTATCACGCCTTAGGAACATCAAGTAAGGTAATGAATGACAGATATAATGATTACATGAATCAAATATGTATATATATTCAAAGTGAAAGATCTCTGAGACTAAATTTAGAGCACAGAGTATTAACACTCCACTTCGTTAGTGGCGGGGCCAGTGAATGAAGGTTTTCTCAATTCCTCTAACGAGCAACAAGATTTTCAGACAGTAGAGTTTAAAGAATACCAAACAAAATAAAGGGGAAAATTGTGGGACGTGTTTTCGGGTTTTCGCCTCAGCAAATTTGCCTCTTCAGAAAACAAACGAAAGATAATAAAAGAGTTGCTAAAGGAAGTGTATGTTTAGTTAATTTCGGCGATAACATTCTACAGCTGACTCAGTGTGGCTTGTGTTCTCAGGTTTCCACATATATCAAATAATCTTCCTCCAAATGCATTTGGACATATTACGCCAGCTCGTTTTATCATTATTATCATTATTATAATCTTTGCTATCATAATTATTTGATGCTTTCTCTTGACCAAAGAGACGTCCTTTATGGCTATACCGTAAATTTTGAAACCCACCATCACCCGCACGCAAGGAATTTCAACCAAGTTTATAATCACTTCCGCTCCTTTCTCTGACACATGCTTCATTTGATTAAACTTCATAGCCTAAAGCGGTCATTTATCTATAACAGTCACGGAGTTATTTCTCTAGATACCTAATGACATCATCAAGACGCAATCACAGAGGTATAACTTGAAAGAAATCGTATTTTAATGTGCGATTATTATCTGTTCAAACCCTCACGAGACCCCGGAGTCTTTCCATTGGTTGCTACAAAACGAATCAAACGATTCAACTGCATAACTTTTATGAGATGGCCTCGATGAAGATGCTTACCGACAATTACAATAAATTGTCGTCCTCTAATCATCCCAGTTAGTTACGGAACCATCATTTTTTATGAAATTTCTTGTAGGTTGTTTTCTACGTTTACCGTTCTGGCCAGGTTCCATTGAACAGAACATGTGTTAAAAGCGGCTCAATGCTCCGCTTGTGAAAGCGCATCTGAGGCGTAACGCACTCTCCGGCGTTGGGATAGAAACTGTCTTCTTTTATTGGGGCTGATTGCTGATTGAATTTGGCTACAACCATTTGTATGTAAATGTATGATTTAAAGTTTATCGTTGATCTGTAGTTACCAGATGAGACTGGAACAAAAATCACTGCTACATTTGATAAAGGAGTGCTTTTCAAACTGACAACTAGCAAAGATAACATCGTGAGATACCGCAAAGTGTTTGAAATTCTGTCGTGATAATCTTGTAAGCGTATCGCGTGACACTCTATATTAAACTGAAGGTTTATGACAGTTGGGTTACGTAAGATTTAGGTGTATAATTGAGCGTAACATGGTAATGGCAGATTTATAGTAAGAATGTTCGTGATATAGAAAATCAATAATGGTCTGAAATATTTAGATAAGGAATTGCCAAGGGAAATTGTGCGTGCGCGTTTGGGTTGGAACATCCTGTGACATTGCGTAATTTGTCTTTCGTGTCGCAAATAGTGCGTGCGTGTGGGTGTAAATTACAGAAGTGTTGGTCGGCGTATAATAGGAAACAGTTGTTAAAATCAAATTAAAAGCTCAGGATTTTAGTAAACCACGAATAATCGGATATTGTATAGATCGTAAATAAACGCAAGAAATCGGAAAGATACAGTCCTATTGATTGTCGAAGCAGCGCAGAGATTTTCCTTAACGCAGTGGAGAATTCTGCAACAAATTTCATGAAGACAGTATTTATCAACCCTCCTCTTGCTTTTAACATTGCCAGAACAACTGGATCGGGAATTTTACCAGGGACCGATGCAAAGAAACTTAAGTACTTCAGCAAGAGGTTAAGCGAAAAAAAAAATAGAAAAAACACTGAAAATTGGATTTCTCAGGTCTTAGGAGATAAAGATGAGAGTTTTTACCAAATGAAAGCGCGAACGCTAAACTGCTGTTGATCAAGCTATCTCGAAATTAAAACATTTATGAACCATTTTAAGTAGAAATCACAAAACTTGTTGAACCGCAATGACCTTTTCCGTCTCATTATAATCTCAGAACACAAATGGCTGGATACGTCAGTCACGTATTTTAGCATAAACTTCTTAAAGATCACTAACATCTACAACCTTTTTTCATCTTATCAGTTCATATTCAGAGGATGTCTTCGTTGACCAGTCCGCAGAGTCAGCCAAAACAATTAGAAAAAGATCATAAAAGATTAGCTGAATTTAATTGAACGAATATGCATGCTCTTCTAATCCAGCGGTCCTTAAAGACCGGGGGGAGGGGAGGGAGACAGTACCCCTTTGAACCTCACACTATGGGTTATTGAAAAAAAACGGACTCTAGAATTGCTTGTCTTGAAATAAGGAATGGAGATGCGTTATAGTTAGAGACTGAAGAGATCATTCACACTCCCTAACCCAGAATTCTAAGAGTTCTCCCCCCCCAGCATATCGTTATTGTGGTCACACCAAATCAAACAATTTATCCACCTGAAGAAACATCTATACATCAGTGTCAGTTACTTTACGCGCTTGTCTCGACAGAGATCCACTTTGATTGGTCTTGGAATCTTTATCAGAGGTATCTTGAAATGCGAAACAAATTTTTCTGAAAGCTTTCGAATAGCGCTGATCCATGGCACCAAAACAGATTGGGTTCAATGCATTTGGCACCCACGTCAGAAAATAAACTATGTTCATTAGTATTCGAACATATTTCCACGACGCAGTGTAGTCTGTGAACTCAACGAGAAGAAAGACAACTTGATAAGGCAAATAACAGAAGAAAAATATCAAAATTATGACGATAGCCATAGAAATAAAACGTCTCTCAAGTTGAGTTGAATCGTTGCAATACACTTTGGTACCATTTGTTGACGCTTTGCTTCTTTGGCTGAATTTTCGACCCAATTTTTTCCTCTCAAGCTTGGTTTTCTTTAAGTGAAGAATAATTTTTGCGTACAGCACGGTAGAAATAGATAGGGGAATAATATAATTCACTAGGAAAAGAAACACAGAGTAAATCTGACGATAACCATGCTCTGAATCCGCATTCATGGGCGGAAATATTTCAAAGCAGTAATCCATCCTCCTGCCAGATTTGAAGGTTACACTCAATACTCGTCTAAAAATAAACAACGGGAGAGAGCAAACGACCGCCACGATCCAAATGGCAGACACAACTAAAAATGCACGGCGGTATTTAAAATGATTGCATGAATATCCAAACGGACTAACTATGGAGAAATATCGATCAGCTGCTATAGCAACGTGCACATTCGTGGTTACTAAACCGCAGACGACCTGGCTTGGATTGATCAACTTACAGAGGAATGGACCGTAGATCCAGCCAGACTTTAGCTGTTCTTTAACAAGAATCAAAGGAACCCAAAGGATACTAAAAAAGTCGCTTATTGCGAGATTCGTGATCAGGTAATAACTGAATGTTCGAAGGCGACTATTACCAAAAAGAGCTGTAAACACGAAGAAATTTCCGATGACGGCAGCGAGGAACATGATGCCAAAAAGAGACAGCCTTACAACTGTCATTGCAAACGGCTCTGATACAAACTTCCTCGGCAGAATCGCTGAACTTGCAGTTGAATTTAAAGAGTTGTTCATTGCTGTGGAAAGCTTAAATCCTACGTTGATAGATTTCAGTGGGTTCTCACTGCTCTCAGATGTGCGTCGGTAGAATACCTGCCGAGGGAAACCAAATGCACAGTCAGACGGTTTGCTTCCAATAATCAACCTCCGAGGAGCCGACTCTGTACTTAAACTCCAAGTTCTAGACCAGTTACACGAAGTGATCGTCACGATCAAAGTCACCAATTTACCTTTTGAATTAAACAAAATTCAGTCAAAGGTAAAATAAATTGGTTTCAGCACAGCATTTGCTTTTGTGTCAAATACGTATTCTTACGAAGACTGAAGGCACAATTGATATCCTGGCGTGATGTGGCAGTCCCTTATAATTTAGCGCGCGCATGCTTTATTACATAATTGTTTTCCAATGATTATCATTCCTTTATTGGATTCCTGGTTAAAAAAAAAAAAAATAATAAAAAGTCAACTGTCATAGATCTCATTGACAGGATAATGAATGGATTTTTAACATTAATACTATAGCAGACATTTTTAAACAGTACCCTATCTTTGCATTTTCCCCTGGCCTTTCACGTCAGTATAGCGAGTCACTGACTTTTTTCACAGTTTGGTTGTCTATTGACAATTTTGTTGCATTTGTAGGGATGCTGTTCTCAGCATAAGTTGATACTGTTCACTCGTGACTAAAACCATCTGTTTGATCGAAAACTCTTAGACTGACGGTTTTGTCAGCTCCAATCATTTTCAGAGCCCAAAGGGAGAAGATCCTAAATTGAATTAAAGCATGAAATCTTTTTTGTCTCTCCCTTCTCTAGGTTAGTCTTGAACAGATGGTAAATTAAAATAGCGATACAGATGGACTAATCTCGACCAGATTAATTTGCGGTTATGTTTGAAATCCTTCTATTGATTCTGTAAGCTCAAGTTCAAGAGCAGAGCAGAGACTAAGCTGAGCCTTTTTTGTCATGCGAATGCGAATCTGGCACCCAGACACTGGACTAGAATTTTTATTGAAAATATCGCCAATTTCTCTTTTCAATCCTCTACTGTTGAGTCACGTCGACTTGTTCCAGAGCCATTCTGCGGTTAATTACTGTTATTCACAATGTTACGATTTTTATCAAAGCCCCTCACAGTCAGTACGACAGGAGCTGGAGGGCTTGGAGCCATTTAGGACAGTTGAGGTCAAACAGAGAGACTTCAAAAGATCCGATAGATAGATCTGCGATAGCATTTACAAAAGATTTATCAGACTAAAATTACTATCAGCCATTTTAAGCTGCTTCAAGCTGTGAACTTCCGTCACATTCAACATAGCCTTAAGGTCTGTGATGTCTTTTTAGGTCAATTAGTAAATGCAACAAAAAATAAAGTGAATAAAACAAAGAAAAATAATGAAAGGGTATCACCCATGCTGTTGAAAAAGAGAGAAAAAATTAAATTGAAGTTTACAAAGCACGAACAAACACGTTTACAGTAATCAAAACGACATATTGATGATCTGGCTGACCTTTACATTTGAATAGAAGAAAAGAATTAAAAATAACAGAAATCTGCGATGAACTTTACAGCTAATTGCTACGTGATCCTTTTGTTTCGATTTGTTTTGTGACTTAGCGCTCGTCAATAGGAGTCAAACAAGGAAAGTTAATAATAGTCTGGTAGATTAAGCTCTATAATGAGTATTAAAGAATTAGCGAGTCGCACCCCTGTCATGATATCGAATACCTTATAATAACCTATGTTTTAGGGAGACATCAAATAAACTGATGACTGACAAAAGCTTCTTTTTTTGTTATCTCTGAAGGACGTTTCTGCATCGTTAAACACGCCCACACCAAACAACTGCGCTCACACTAATAGTGTTCACACCTGATACAACATAAGCACTCAGTTGATTTTCAGTTCCACTCAATTTTCCATAACTGTATCAGTACTAAAACAAGTTGGGAATGTTTTTCTCTTGGACTTGGAATGCGGATTACTTTGTTGCACTGACGGCTATAAGCCACTTTTAAAAGTTCATGAAATGATTCACCTGCGCATAGCTTAGCATGAAGGCATGGGAGCACTTTGCAGATGTTTTAATCGTTTAAAAAACGTTTGTCTATACACTTGAAACTGCCAGCATCTGTTTGACTTAAAATCCCACAATGTAATTTTATCAACGTTGAAATTTCTTAGTCAAAGGAGAACGGATACAGAGATCTACACAATAAAATTATGGATTTGTGCCTTTCGAATGCTCTTTTGTTCTGAACAGATGGTAAATCAAGGGAGCTCTGTATAACACATCAACATTGTCTGTGCTGTATTTAGTAATTTTTCATTTTAAATCTTTCCTAAATCTTTCCTCTACTTTGATTTTGATAATAATAAGTTCAGAACTCCAACGCTCTATCCCCTTAATTTAGTTCATTAATTTATTTCATAAAGTTTTCAGTTCTGAAAACTACTCCAGTTTTTAGCTTGTCCCAGCCGCTATCCCCCAAGGGTACGAAAATTGGCCCATGGCTCTTTCGAGCCATGGTTAATGACTTAACAATGTCACAACCAACCATGTCTATGTGGAAATTTGCAGATGACACCTCAATATCTGAAGTCATCCCCAAGTATGCTACAGGAAATGGCAATACACGAAGTGACCAATTGGTCAAGTGAAAATAAGTTTCAATTGAATCCTGTAAATGCAAGTTATCATTAACTTCAGTAAGCAGCCAGACGCGGAAGAATTTATTAGCCTAAACAACCAGCACCTTGAAAGAGTGCCTCAAGCAAAGATTCTAGGTGTAACCATCACAAAAGATCTTAGAAGGAATGTTCACATCGAAAATATCGTCCAAAAAGCATCAAAGCCCATTTATCTCCTGAAGCAACTGAAAAGAGCTGACGTGGAACCTGGTTCACTTGTTAAATTCAACACTGCTTGTGTCAGGTCAGTTTTAGAATATTCTTGTCAAGTTTTCCATTCAAGCTTGCCCCAGTATTTATCAGACGAGGTGGAACGTATCCAGAAGAGAGGGCTTAGGATAATTTTTCCAGACCTCAATTACAAAGAAGCAACTGCTAAAGCAAAACTTGGAACCTTGTTTGAAAGAAGAGAAGCTCTGTATCAACTGCTATTTAGTCAGATCGAGACTACAGATGTCAACGAGACACACAAAGTTTGGAACCTATTACCAGCTAAGCGTGGACCATGTAATCATGAACGGAGCCATAAAAGAGTTTACTCGTTGCCATTAATCAAGACTAACAGATTTAAGAACTCATTTGTTATGCACCATGTAGCCGAGGCCACTTGATAGTTCAAATTTCATAATTATATGTATCGTATGTATATAGATTATCCGTTATTGTTTTAAAACATGTAATTTAGTCTCACGCCTGCCAGATGTTATTTCAATAGACGAATTTTCTCTTAAATGATGGACTTATCTCTTAAATGATAGTCTATCGTGATCAAGAAGAATAAACTACGCAATGAGAAGGTGATATGCAGGGATTTGAAAAAAAAAAAGGACTTAAAGTCTTTCCAGTAAGGTCAAACATAGAACCATCGCATAATCAGGTGGATAACTTACGCATGATCTAATGATGATCTAATTTGTGCCATTCAAAAAATTTTGCAATTTTCTCGAAAAAGCACCAACAACGATTGCAAGGCCTCTGCCGAGGTATAGGTTTTGAGGAGTATGCGTGACTGAAAAAGGTAAACTGCAGCTTTTTGAGTAAACCAAATATATGGCGGGGACAGGCAAAATTATAAAAGGACACTATTCCTCCTGAGTACTCAGTCGCAGTTAACTTCAGGGGTTATTGGATGGTTGAGGAAACTGCTGCCTGAGGAGACTCAGCGAGTGTCAACTAAGAGTCACAGGCTAGCTCCCACAGTAAGAAGTTTGGAGACGGTGATTCCCTTAAATGAAGGAGATTATAGAACCATATGAAAAGGTGTTTAAAATAGATAAGTTTACTTTTTCTTTTTGAAGTATAAATAAAATAAATCAATTAAATATTTGAAGCTGTTTCAGCTAGAATTAAATAATCATTTCAATATGTATTTCGAGAAGGAAGTAACTTTAAATTAGAAAACCAAACTAACAACTGGTTCATAAAACCACTCCGTTTAACTTGTTCTACGTTTTCCTTTTTTCATTCACTTATTTTTCTGTTTTGGCTTCAATTTTGTATCTTTCAATGTGTAATACAAAAAGACCCGATAATTTGTTCGAACCTCTATACTGAAAATCGTCAAACACCAGCCATTTCTTTGCGGAAGACACCAAGAGAACAGTCTCATCTTTTCTTAACACACTTGGACCAAAAGCACAATTCATTGTAGTAACGTCAAAGGATGCGTAAGGTGTTCAATGTCATCTTAAGGTAATCTTCTGTCTGCTTGCGCTGATAAAAGAGAAATAAAGAAGTTTTAGCGGAAAAATCAACACCGCACACACGTGAAATTAAAACCAATTGTTGGAGAATCCGATCGTCTACTCACAGCGTCTTGAAGAAATTTATTCTGTAGCTTTTCCATTTCGTTTTCCATCTCAGTTCGCACTGCTATCTGTTAAAAGTATTTATATGACTTTAAGCAACAATTTAAATTAATCTATATCCTTTCAATAAAATTGATAATATGAAGAAAGTCATACTCATTAATTCGTTTGATCAACATATGGTCAATTTGTTGAGCTGAGCAAGCCTAACCAAAGAGAAACTTCACCTTTAAATAATGAAACAAAAACACCAACTTCCATTCCCAAAGCAGGTTGAAAGTATACCTCCTCAGACGTGACAGGGGTGGTAAAAACGTACAATGATCAGCAAATACCTCTCGTTCTTCTCTTTTACGCTTCAACTTTGTGAGTTCACTTTCCATGACAACCTGAAGATGTTCCAAGCCTTTGAACCTTGAGACGAAGATCGAGTGTGAACCCATCAGGTCTTAAATGACGAAAAACGTAAAGGGTACTAAGAGTAACAGTAAGAACTACCTACTAACCTCTTGTTTTCCACCTGTCTTTGGTTCTTGAGGATCTTGAATTGTTTTTCCAAACCATTCTAATTTTCAAAGAAATGTTCTAACCAGATAAGTAAGGGGTCATCAAAACAGCGATATTGAAAAAAAAAACGTTCATCGGCCCAACCATGGTTCTTTTGGAAAGATGGCTCTCTTCTACATACACTGAGATACGAAAAAAGGTTATTGTCATAATTGTACCTTGAAATCAATCACCACAAACTGACACTTACGAAGGTTTCCTCTATTCCTCTTACGACAGCAGATGTTTTATCAATTTCCTTCTCCAGAACTTGAACTTGTTCTGAGAATTGGTTCTTGCAGCTCCTCAATTTGTCGTAACTATAGGATCACAATAGTAACAGAGTGAAGAAATAAAGAAACAAAACACATCAGCCGCACAATCAAAACTACACTGAGCTGTTGACCAACTCCTCCAAAATTAATTAAACTGCTGCAAACACAACTTGTACAGCATTCACCCGAGCTGCTGCAATGTTATTTCGAAGTATTTCCACAAAGTTAAAAACGCCTTAAATGGAAACTTTGAAATAGTAGCCATATAAGGTAGAAAACAGCACAGTAAAGGGTTCGCAAATGACAAACTCGGAAATTCTATTATCTGCTATTTGAGTTTGAAAAACCCATCAGCTATGACGTGGCCTCTTAAACTTTAGCACCACTCCCGAAACAATTTCCCCATGATAACGGTTCCTGCACACCAAAACACATCCAACGTATAGTACTTTTCACCTGAGCAACAATCTGAACGCAAGCATTAACAGGTAGAGTTTATATTTTATAGTTCGATTTAATCTATGGTTCAAATTTGGTGATTATTCCAAAGATAACGAAAAATGAAATCAAAATCAAGGATAAACCAAATTACGACACATTTTGGTTGCAAGGTGAACAAAGCATGACATATACCTGGCTGCCTGTGTTTGACTCCATAGGGAGTCAATGGTGGTAAACATGACCTCATTGGATTTCTTCACAAACGACCGGATCATGAGACGCTTTCTCTGAAAATAAGAGTACACCCTCATGACGGAACAAGAGCCTTTTCGTAATGAGAAGATCACGAGGCAAACAAATGATACTTTTAAAATAGTACAGTGAAACCACTACTCCTTAAAAATATCATCATTTACGTGTCTGGAGATAGATTCGCATGCTACGTTGGGAGTTCTCCTCTCTGGTAACCTTTAATCTGATCATGATGAAAAATGCGCCATTTCGTAATGTGCGCGATATCTTAAGTAAGATTACTCGTAGTATGCAATACCAACCGCTACTCTCAAACCGCAACCCTGCATTTTCCCTGGGAGTTAAGTTGCCTGTTTTATCCTTTTCTGACATCTTGACGTCGTCCAGGGAAAAGTAGAAGCGAATCGGGATCAAATAAAAAAAAAGTTGGACAAAGAAATCGTTACTTACACGAACTGCTTTCATAATCTTTCGTCCGGCAAAATTGATCAGTCCCTGTACCTCTTTCCTTTGAAGGAAAAGAAATCAAACTTTTTGTGGAGTGTTTTGCTAAGTTTACAGAAATCTTGCCAGATAAATCTTGATGGGGAATCTATACTTTGTCTTGTCTCCCCTTCTATCGTTTCGCTCTTCTGTGAAAATAGTGGTCGACCATTCACCACGAAAAATAAACAAATTGAAACAAACAAACAAACAAAGCTTAAATCAGTTCACAAACCTGGTTTCTTCTTCTTCTTCTTCTTCTTCTTCTTCTTCACCATCATCTTCTTCTTCGTCAGGCTCCTCTCTGTTTTCTAATAAAGCTAAAACATTTTTATTTCTGTTAGTCAAAAAATGGAAAAAAGGGGATTTTCGTCTGACGTAATGACTGAACGATAAATATAACCGTAGGAGAAATTCATTGGTTGATTAATGTACAGCAAAATGTTCATTCCGAAAAGAAAAGTTCCCAGCTTGTTCCCGAATAGCCATAACTAGCTCGTCAAACGGATCTGATTAGTAAACAGTAAACATGGGTTGTATGCTTTTAATTCACGAGAAGAACTTTATGATAACTTTGACTCTCTGGTTGTGAGACTGCTAATTGAAATGCGCTGTATTAGACACCGGTAATTTCTGTTACCAGTATCAGTGCTACCGTTTCATGCCACAAATTTACCTTCATAGGAAAGTTTCCTTGGCCTGTAAAAACTTCGACTATACCAGCCTTCTCTATGTTCAGTACTCTTCGCTGAGAGTAAAAAAATATATCATGGATAAAACGCTGTAAAATATATCTATCATATCATGGATAATGAGACACACTTGTCTTTTGATACTATCACCGTCAGATGCGTGCTCTTGTCTGCTGAACTGTGTGGTCTGTAAATTTAAACTGTTTACAAACTGGAGAGTACCTATTCATGATATGGTGGCGAAATATTCAGCGATCCACTCAGACATCAACATATCAGAAGACTGCATCCGTGGATACTTAAATATTTCGCTACTAAATCGAGTGTATTTCTCATCAGTTCGTTTCGAATCGATTTTCAATCCCTCTCCCAACTCGCCCTCCATCTGTCATACGTCAAGCTCCCCTTAACTTATCTCTAAGCCCATCTAAAACCCCTCTCAAAATGTCGTAGACCTTTCCCCGGAGTTTTCGATGCGACAGTTCTCATTACAGAGCATGTATACCTGTAAGAGATGCGCCACCAGGATAGCTGGGGCCTGATCGTGACCACTCAAAGTAGTTCCTCTTTCGCTTTCTAACCTGTGGAAATTATTAAAACAGAAATCTTTTACTAACCCAATTCAAGATGTTCTGTGCTAAACGTGGGACTGCAAGAACAAACAAACAAATCGTGGAACCACGGAAAGCATGTAAAAGACTTCGTCATTTCTTTAGAAGTAGCACGTTTATCAATATCAGTTACTATATATGCTGAAGAGCTCTTAAAACCTTATGCACCAACCATAATTTCCTTTCCTGACTCTTGGGATGAGGCGGACTCTTTTCCACTCTACAGTCAAATAATAGCATATAGACAAATTCAGTGTAACACATTAACCCTGTTTTTCAAAACTTGACTCGCTCCTCATGATGCATGCAAAAACACGCAGCAGTGGAATTCTGACTGACCTGTCGCTTCATTGCTACCACTTTCTTACTACAAGGTTATCCTTTACTCCGACGAATGCTCACAGATTTTGCTTGTATAGTAATTATGGTCTAACCCAATAAAGAGCGAATCACGAGTCCAACCGTTTTACGAAAGGGAGGGAGGGGGCATTGTTCGGTGCACGTCTTGACTCCGATATCCCAATTAAGACTAACTCAACATAGGAGTTTCTTCGAAGTGAAAAGAAAGGTTATTTTGAATAAAGGGCGCATCGCCAATGAGATTGTATAGACTATAAATTTCAGATGCAAATAGTCTAAACCATACTCTTCGGTGCCACTGGCAGCTACACTTAAGGTCAAAGAGAAGGGTCCAGCTTTAAATTCGGCAACCAAGTTATGATCGAGTCTGCCGAGTCAGCATAGGGAAAGGAGGAAGGGTTAAATAATTCACTAAGGTTCACTTTTATACAAAAATACTTTGAAAAAGGCACTTGTTAGGTTACGAACCTCAACATCTGCACAGTTATCCTTATCTGTGGAAACAATAGCGGTAAAATAAATAGATCAAACTACATAGCAAACCGAGAGTAAGGAGGTTGGGTTGTCATAATGTAACGGGTGAAAAAGAGCGTGTTAAGTTATTTATTTGTAGTTTTTGCTCCATCTGAAAAGAACACGTATCGAAATAAATCTTTCAAATCAGTTGGTACACCAGTAAGCACTTAAAACTTTCATCAGAAAATGTGACCATTTTAGTAGTCGAAAGGCTTTTCTTCTTTAGACTTTGTCTTAAGATGCCACTTTGTCACTTAGGTTGCATATCGCAAGATATAAGATGAACCATAATCTTAAAATTTTGCATAATTTGCCAACGTCTTACCTAGTTCTGATCTTGGCGTGATCGGTGTCTTTACAACAGAGACTTGAAGAGGCCTTTGTCTCAAAGACTTTTTCTTGGATACTTTTGTATGCTTTCCTTGGAAAGGTGTTTCGCCAATTCCTACAGGTAGGAGACAAACAAATCATTCTCACATTTTACATTCAAAGATAAAATATTGCATAAATATTTTCTGTACTTTTCTAACCCACAGTGTTGATGCAGTTTCGTTTATCAAGAACTGGAAAAGGCATGGTGTTAACAAAAACCGATGGCGCCATTCTTAGATTCTACAATTCAGAGACATTTTAAGAAGAATATTAATCAAAGCTAGCTAGGAAACATAATCAGAGGTTTAAATACCTGAGTCATCTCGAGACACAACACGCTTCAAACCTAACCTTCCCTCACTGGAGCTAAGCTGCGTATTGTTTCCAGCCTTAAAAAATGAAAACCGAACATAGATACAACTCTCTAGAGTCTTTTAACTTTCAAACTCTAAAGAAGTTATATTTAAATAAATAAATGTCATCCGTCAGGGACGGAGAGGATTGGAAAGGTGGCCGTCCTGAGAAGCCGGGATATTATGTGACTAATTCAAACAAATGTTTAAATTGTCGCATATTGTTCCAAGTAGATGACATAATTTAACTACGACAACAACAACGATAAAATGAAATCAATAAAGCGCCACATTGGTGACTTAAGTTCCTTGATGTACATCAGCTTACCAATCTTTGCTCATTCCTATATTTACGTCTATAAATTGGTGTCATATTTATGTCGAAGTTATAATCTATTTCAATATCGCTATTAGCGGAGTCAGCTTTAACTTCAACATCCTTCTCTTTATCTTCGTCTTGTTCAGTAACGTCACTTGCTTCTGAAGCCTCGCCTATGGGAGTAATCTGGAACAGAGAGAGGTTAAAAAATATCTCTTACGTTAGAGCAACCAGCCAAGTTGAAGAATATATCATGGGCAGAAGTCTGGATAGCCGTTCTTTAATTGCAAAAAATATGAAAAGAGAATGAAAAAATAAGCTTTCGGAGGGAATACTCATTTACCACTTATACAGGTAAGACTGCTGGTCGTGGACTATTAAGTGCCTTTAAGTAAAGACAACATTTCCATTGTGGTAAAACTGAATTCAAACAATGTCTTTGGAAGGCAGAACTTTAACAACTTTTTCAGAGCCAAACTTCCCTGGGATTGAAATAAACTATTTGTAGCTAGAAGATGTGATGAAAGCAACCAAGGTTTTCTACCTTAGAGAGGTTCATTGGGCTGCGTTGAGATTCTTCTCCCTTACAATTGTCACCTGACCCTTCACGTGACTTCGGGGTTGGCAAAAACTAAAACGAAAAAGCACTCTCAGTAAAAAAGAACTTCGTCCCTTACTTTAACGGGAACCTGGTATGTAGAACATACCATGATGGCAAGCATTTTCCAAACTTGAAATTAGCGATTCAATCAATAGAGAATGACCGACAGCAAGAAGCCACAAAGTTTATATACAGAGTAAAAATGTTATCAAATCCAAACGCAGTTTTGGTTTCACTTTCTAATTGTTTTTAAGGATCATTGTGAAATGACACAGTACAATGAGTGACCACAAAATCTATACATACTCTGCTGTTTTTCTTTTTCAGAATTTCTATCCTGTCCTTTGCTATCTTGAATTTCTTCGTAACTGGCTTTCTTGTATTTTGATGGTCGAATCTTGCATAATCATCCATATCATGAGGACTGATGAGTAAATCCTCCTCCAATGATTTATGCCTTTGAGATGCATTATCGACTTTAACAACCGGTGAAGACGTTCCATATTCAGCCTCTTGATAGTATTCTGTAGTATAATCACTGCTTTCAAGTTCATAATCTACAACATAATAAGAAGATAAAGTAAATGATAGATGGGAAACTGTTGGTTTATGGCAGCTTTTCATTTTCGAAACATTTCAGTACGAATGCTTTGGGGTAATAACATGCATTAAACAATAATTGAGATTTACTGTACCATCCAAAACCGTCTCATACTGATTTTCTTGAAGGTAATCATCCTCATCATCAGCATCCTTTGTGGATTTGAGGGCAAAAACATGAGATGTAGCTTGCTTCTTTTGTACTTTAGTGCTTTGCGAACGTCTTCTACTAGTAGCGTCTTCATTCGCCCCTATACAAAATATCAAAATATGAACAAGCCTGTCCTCAATTTTGTGACAACAAATACAGAGAATATTTAAACTGAAAACGTGTAAATGAAAACTTAATTGACTGAGATTGTTAAATGTTTTGTCCTATCTTTCAGTTACTACTCTAGTTATATTGGTCAATTTAGTGGGCGTTACTCTGCTCTACATGTACGGCTGGTAAAACTTCATAGCTATTTCGTCGCCAAACTCTCTTCTTACTTATCGCCAATCGTTCTCGTTTTTTCGTGATTTTGAAATAAACTTGTTTCATTTTCAATGTGCGTCTTTCATTTGAAGCAGGAGTACACGAATAGATGCAATTTCTAAAACATGTCAGACAGTTGTAGAGAGGTAACAAATATCCACCTACTTGCTGGTCCGCAACTTACGGCTCGAACCGATAGGACATGGATGGCAAAGTATTTACACACTTGTTAGTGGACCTGTGTATAGGGCGTACACTTACCTTGATTTTTAGGGATATCATTACCTGTTTTATATTTGCCCATGTCAATCCTGTTTTCATCGTAAACAACATCACTAATTCTCTGATGTTTCTTTGCTGGATCTGGCACCAAAACCTTACTCCTTGCAGGTCTATCCTTTTTTAATCCTAAAGAGCAAAGAGGGTGGAAATCGTGACTTCCAGATACGTTAAGACAAACGGGCGAAAGCACTACCATGTCTTACCTCTCTCTTTTATTAAAATTATCAAGTTCCTAAATCCAAAAGCACCTAATTGTAAATGAAGAAAGCCGAGAACGGTAGAAAAGTAAATTTATCGGTTGTAATAAGCCAGTGGGGCATTTCACAAGAAATTATCCTGATTTTCTCAACATTTAGCTACTAGAGGCGTGGAACCAGTAAATCACTGGTTACTCTTGCATTTTATCTTGTTTCCCCTTTCCATTTCTCAAGGGTGGAAAGAGAAGCTGCGAAAGTTGGGTTTCTTTTTTAAGAAAAAGACGAAAACATTAATTAACATTAACATTAACCAGGTCAGGGCTTGAGACCAGAACAATTAACTCAGATGCCTGTACACTGATGGTAACTATCAAAATGATCTTGTGGTTCACTAAGCGGGTCAAAATTGACTTTCTAAATAAAACAGATTCAGTTTAGCATTCACCTTCTGACTTCGTGCGTTGCTTCCTTTTACTTTCTTCAGGTGGCTGCAATGCAGCTGGTTCTTTTATTTTGTGGGTGTTACCAGCCATTGATTTTGACTTACTCTGCCTCTTTTCCAGTTTTTTTTTCTTGAGACTTCCCTCTTTATTTGTCTTATCTTGATGATTAAATTCATTTTCATCCTTTGGATACATAATAACAGAACAGGTACTTTGCAATGATGGACTGACTACCACCAATGAATAGTTCACTGCTGCCTGAATCATCAACTCCTATAGCTTAATATTTGGTGGGGGTATAAATTGCAGGTTGCTGCTCATAAATTTATTGCTCCATACACAATTAGTTGGTTACCGGTAATCATAACCATTACAATTTCCTCAAACACAATTGGTGCATTAATTAGCTGCTTTATTTTTTCACTAATAGAGCTGTAATCAGACAGTATAGTCAATTGGCTGTAATCACACATCTGTAAGTGGACAGTTGAAGTAGCCAATTATACTAAACCCTCTCAGCCAAATCCACCAATCACAGAATTAATCACAATAACCACAGCAACAATCACTTATCCTTAAAAAAATTGAGGAATTTCCAAAATGGAGAATTTTTTACTCTAGACATTGTCTCTACCAGAGATATTTGACCTAATTGTATTTGTTGTTTTCAGAAATTGTAATGATTATGATTAATTGGTAACAGGATTTTTATCATCCATTATGTCGGTAATCATACTCATGATTGACAAATTGGACTCCCGCTTTGTGGTCATCCAATTTTGTTAATACTCATATGATTACAGAACAAATTGGACTCCACTACGTCCTATTACCATTATGAACAGAAATGCCACAGCTTCCTGTTGCTTTTACCCAATTCAGTTGGACTTGCATAGTTCTACTCTGAATTGCTAGTAGCTAGTCCCACTCTGTTTCATTAACTGTAACACTGACAACTAGTTAAGGTGGCCATCAGGGATCCCTCTGACCCACTGCATGCAAATTTTGAAAAACGTCATGAGCAGTCCTATATGCAATGGCGTGAACAGGGCAGGGAAAATTAAGCAACTGTCTGCCTGATGAAATCAGTCTGTATGTCATGACCTTGAGCCAGCTATTTTCCCATTCAGCCCTCTCACTTAGTCATTATCAACAATGTATATCCAAGCATCTGATCAAAAGGTAAACACCACAAAAAGAAAACAGTTTAACACACCTCCATGCTATCAGCAAGTGGCAAAGAGTCTTGAACAATGTCCAGAGATTCTTCTTTCCTCTTGTCATTTGTCTCCTTATTTGCATCTCCTGGAGCTTCACCTTGATTGGAAGAAATGTCACTTTCAGAAAATACATTTGACGAGGAGCTGAATGATAGCTTTGTGTTTTCTGCTTTCCTGCTTCTATAACCCTTTACTTGTACAAGGGTGCATGACCTAATTCTCCTCTTACCAGATCTTGGGTCTCGCCTTCTTGCTGGAGTCACCATGGGTAATGTGCCAATGATTTTCTTTTGGCTCTATAGAGAGAAATGATATGAAAAGTGCCAGAAAGGAAAATAGAAATTATTCAAAATTCATGAATGATGAATTGATGTTACTAGACAGAGCTCGAGGTTTAATAACTCTTCAGGCTAAGAAAGGGATACCCCTAGGGATAGGAATGAATTTACTGGTACATTAATCACTCGGTTCTTCCTCAATCAGGCATAAATTAACTTAAAGAGTGTACACTTACCTCAACCAATGGATAAGAATGTCTGGTAGAGAAAACTTTCTCTCTAATACCCTGGTAGGTCTTTGCACCATTTGATAAGGACTCTTCTTTTTTTTTGCTGGCTTTCAATCTCTTGCTTACATTAAAAGCTGTTGGTAAAGATTTCTCTAAAAAGTTTTTCTTACTCATGTCAATATCAGTGGAACTGTCACTTCTTCTTTGTTCCTGAAATGAGAACAGGAGGTAAACAGACAGTAAGAGAGAGGGCGGGCACAAAAAGACAAGGTAATATTTGTTTTCCAACTTTGACATCATTTAGAGAATATCTATACATTCTGAAAAGGAAAAAAATGAAAAAATAATTTAAAAAAAGAATAAGAAAATACATATTTGGTTGTGAATTATAAAAAAAAAACTTGCCTCTTTGGCCTGTAGACGCTTAGAAGCTCGTTTAATGGGCTTTCTTGTGGTTTCCTCTTCAGTGTGGGCACTGCTGTTGTCTGAATCATGCAACATATTCCCAGCTTTAACAGATAATTGTGTTGGTTTACTACCACTTTGGTGGGAATTTTTAACTTTTGATTCATCCAAGTCAAATTTGTACTCCTTCTTCTTGGCCTGAGCAGTAAAAAAAGAGTATAATTTAATTACACTGTCCTCCTTTATATAGATATTTGAGGTGATAGTATTAGAACTTTGAAATCATTTAATTACTACAACAAGTATCTGTATGATCATGATCAGTGTAGTAATAATGTTCTAAGTCCAGATTAGAATACAAAGCAGTGCATAAGCAGAGCAAAAATGTGGTTCTGATAAGGACATACTGGAATAAACTCAGTTTAAGGTACTGGATGATCCATTCAGAACCTTCAACATTTCAGCTTAATATGATCCCATTGAACCAACTTTAAACAATTATCAGTTATTTAATTTCAACAAGTCTCTCACCTGCGACATCAAGGTAGCTGTAGGCATGACAGGCCAAACACATGTCACCTCTACTTGTGTACTTTTAATGCAGACAGGATTCATGGCTACTGAAGCTTTTGTTGAAGGAGTCAAGCTCACATCTGAGTCACTACTGGGTGGAAACTTTGGACTTCCCATAATTTTTTTTAATACAGATGTCAGAAGGTTAGTGAGTTGAGAGAGTTAAGAAAGGCAACAAAAGTTGTCAACCATTTAACAATTGAAAGAAAAAACTTTTGTGACTTACCATAATTAAAAGCTCTTTAAGTTTTGTAGAGAAATCTCATATCCAAACTGATGATTACACATTGGGACCAGACCCTCATCAAAAACTTAAACGAAACAAAACTAGAAGCATAATGAGTGCATCCTCTAGAGGAAAAAACACAATAATTACATTTGTCAGAATTTTTTCAACTGAAAGGATATAAATTCCACTGAAAGAAAATTTGACAAACTGATTGTCAAATTGAGGTCCAAAGGAAACAAGTTCAGATGCAGCATGCTTTAGTTTTAAAAGGAGGGCAACCTCATCTTTCTTTGTTTCTAAATCTGGGCAGTGAAAGAAATTGTTGTCAATCTAATTGAATAGAATCATGTAAAGTTAAAGTCACATTCAATGACAGTAAACTCAAGAAACACCAAAAGATTCCCTTCTGTTATTATTTTTTTAATTTGAAACACCACCTTGCTCTCATTCTAGACCTGAATCATATGCAAGTATGCAAACAGTCAATACCAACCTCCCCTGTGACCAAATATTTAGTTGAAGCTGAGTGCAAAATTTCTGTGGGCTCTTCAGTAACATTGATCAGATAAAAGAATTATAGCACTGTTTTTAGGTGTCCATTGCATTATTAACATTGTGGCATGTTTAATAGGGCCCAAAAATCACATGTATTTTGAGTGAGTTATAGCTTAGTACAAATTTTTTAAATGATTTAGGTCTCCCTTGTACGATAGTGATTAAGGGTAGAGTAAAATGTGCAATTACAACAAAAGGTAGGCTACTTGTAGGTCTGGCATTACTATAATAATTTACCTTTGATCCGATAGTCCTCAACATCTCCTGCTTTAATGAGTACTGTCTCCCATGAGCTACCTTCCTAGATAACAATGGAAAACAGACATCCAACATTAGACCAGCACTTTTGCCCAGTCAAAGTAGAATGGGCTAGGCCCTCCATACTAGGCAGCCTGATTACAACTATAACAATGTAACAATACAACTAACAAAATTTCTAAAATATTGTACTTCTATCCATACTGTACTTGGCTCATGCAATGGAATATTTGGAACCAGATGAAAGGGTAACCATCATGAGCTGATTATAGTGGCTTTCCACCAATCCAAATACCTAGGGTAGCATACAAGGATGGAACTTTGAATGAAATAGGTTGAATACAGAATAATTAAATAATAAAAAAAACCATCTTTATACCTTGTAATTTCCACTTCTGTCTCTCTCCTCAACAAAAAGTGTGATGGACTCACTACCATAGTTAAAATCTATCCAAAAATCCTTTATTTTCTCATAGCTTGGCTGGTAAACCTATGGTTGCCAAAGAAGAACAACAAACATGATATCACATCAATAAGTTATAATTTCCTGAAAACCACAAATAAAGAAGAATTACCATTGTATTAAAAGTCTCCAATCCCTTATAGTTTCAGCACACTGAATTTTGCAATATATTTATTTCTTGCTCTGTTCTCATGTCATAACTGATTTTGATTTACTTAAAGGTAAGTGAGCTTCGTCAACTTGCTAGAAATATGCTTTTATTGACCCTTTTAAAACTTTTAATCACAAAAGTCACCAAAACAATAATCCTGTCCATTTAAATTGATCTATACAGACTAACTGAAAGCCAGTTTTCTGGTACAAAATGACTTCCAGTTATTTGCTCAATACCACTGACAACACGATCCATTTCTAATTCCCGTAATGATAAGCAGAACACAATATAATTGCAAAATATCCCAACAAACCTGTAGTGTTCCAAAGTGAGCTGAATAACATGGAATTGAGGTCACACTGCCAAAGGAAACAATAAGATTTATTCCCAAAGGTGAACAAAGACACCTGAGTCATACCACTGCATGTGAATAATATATTGCTCATCTTCTCTTGAACACTCACTCAGCCAACCAAAATGTTAAAATTTACAACACAATTTTATTTTCCTTTGTATTCTGGGTTTTTTTTTTAAAGTAAAAAACCCAAAAAAAGATGAGAATGAATATGACTTGAATTGGTCACAATCCAATTTGAAAAGAGCTTCCCATACATATTTCAAAGACGTTAATGTGCATGACATCATACCAGTAAATACAATCAAAGGAAACTTCTGATACCTTCGCTTTTCCTTTTGACTTTCATTCAAAGTGTTGAGAAAGTGCCTACAACCCTACCAAAGAAACAAATTTAGCAATTAACCTTAATTATGTGGATTATGGAGATGGTAAGCTACAAAATTAGTCTAAATGACATTTTCACAAACTAAAACAAGTACAGAATAATTGAAAAATGTCCTATAAGTTTGATACAGCCAATATGATACAATGTACACACTTTTTTGAATCTGTACTCTTTCATAAAACTAAGGGAAGAGGATGAAGCACTTATCAAATGACAATGGGGCATAAATTTTCAAAGTTGATTGATGAAAGAGCACAAATTTGAAGGGGGAGCCCTCATCCAAGGATTTAAAACGTATTGAATACACCAGTTAGTGTAAGCAATTAATATAATTTTTTTATTTTATTTTCTTTAGTTTCAGTAATTAGCGCAATTGCACAATGACAATTAAACCTCTCTTCTCTGAAGAAAAAGGGAAAAAATTGGACACAAGTTTGAATCTTGAACAAGCTTGTGCAAATTTCAAAATTTAAATAATTTAACTAAAAATCAATCTTAGACTTACTGCTTCAAAGTCTTCCATGCTGATTTCTCTGAAAGCCTGAGAAACAAATTTATCTATGAAGTATTGTGGAGCCTTTGTGAATCTGCTGGCACATGGAAGGAGACGAACAATAAGCTCAACCATTCCTGCTTGTAGTTCAAAATCTAAATATTTCAAAAGAATCAAAACATAGAGAGACTCAGATTGTAATTTTTGTATTAATCCTCCTTTGCATATTCTTTGCTATATCATATTCTATCTACATTTCTCATTAACATTATTCACTCTTCTAATTTTAATAGAAAATTAAAATTAGAAATCGCTTAAATTCATATACTGGCCCATTTCATTTGTTAATTTCTTTAACTGACAACCAAAATTTTGATATGTTTATTTGTGTGCCACTTTCCAGCCACTGTCTACTCTAATAAAAGTCAGACTTGTATTTCCTTTGAGTGATATGTGTAAGATTCACTCATAAAAGTGGTACATAAATGGTAGTTTTTAGTTCCCAGTTTTTTTTTTCACATAGATGGGTTCTTGCCAGGATAGGTCAGATATCATTTGTAAAAAGACAAAATGTGTTATTATAACGGTTATTTCTGCAAACATTACAAAAATACAGAAGGAAAAATGCAATTACCTCCAGCGCTAACAAGCAGAAATTCCATATTATCCTCTCTGAAGATTGAAAAATAAATTGAATGCAACAAAATTGCTTGAGTACTGAGCAAGTATCAAGAGAAATCAATGTGAAAAGGAGCAGCAGCTCTTAGAACAATCTCTTGTGATCTTCCTAAAAATCACTCACTATAATACCTGTAAGTGTCTTCCTTAATATTCTTGACATTAATCCACTGAGAACCAGTAGAAAAGTAAAGCAAAACCACCTGCTCTAGCCCTAATATAAGATAATCATTGCTTCTAAAAGGTGAATTTTTGCCATTTGCTACCACTTGCCTATATAATTACATAATTTTTCATTAACCATCAATTTTTTGATCAATTTGCTTCATTCCTAATACATGTGACACTTGATACAGAGTGATCACTATCCTTGTTGATCAGTTATAGTTATTCAATTATGTTGACCAGCCATACAATTCTTTGGAAGCCAGACACACAGCATCTGATGGATCCAAGTCATGATTAGCTTCATCTCCAAGAATAATATTTGTTAGCTTCACAGCCTGAAAAAACAACTTAAGCTATGCAGTCAAACAGTCTGAGGCACCTAGCCAATCAGTCAGTCAGTAATTCTATTTCATTCACCGAGGCATTTGCAATGTCAGTCTTATACCACATTATTGAACTAAGAATTTAGTTTTATTATTTACACTAATCACAATGACATTTTAATACAGATGAAATTATATTCAGAGAGTGAAAATGTTTGGCCATTACCTGTTTTATTCTACTGGTGAATATAAATGAAGAGTGCTATATGAACATTGTTGATAACATTCTATGGTACTTGACAGGTATGCAAATGAGAAGATTTACCTCAATACTCAAACCAATGCTTTTTTTCTCTTTTGCAATGATATCACAAATTAAGTGTGGGACAACTGAAACCAACTTTGCCTTGCCTTTAATGAGAAAAATCAATAATAATACAACATGATAACTATTTTCAAAAACTAAGTTCAATGCTATTAATTATTAACTGAAATGTTCATATCATAGTGCACAACAGTGGTCCTTGCTGTTGTGAGAACATTGGACCTTCCTGTTCCAAAAATTTTATACAAAGTCATCATTATAGAAAGGTGCTCCTGGGAAAGTTTATTATTTCATATTATTATAGAAACACCAATAAAATAACAATTGAGCTTTTGTGCAAAAACATGATATCTTCACACCTGAAGATAACATTTCTTCACACATAAAAATATAACTGTTGCTATGGTTGCACTCCTGAAATATTTTCAACACTGAATAAGAAATTTTGTATCTCTGTGGGGCCTGTATTATCCTCTATGTATCCTTTACAAATAAAATTTTAATACCTCATGAAGAACATGGACCAAAAGAATGGCAAATCAATTTACCTGAAGGAAGCTTTTCACATGTTGCCTGGAATAAAAACAATAATATTTGAAAATATGGCATCACCGGTCAGCTGGCATTATCATCACTGTTATCACTACTATTACTCTTAAGTTTGCACACAAAATTATTACTTTCTTCAAACTTAATCCAAACCATTATCTCAAATTTCAGAATAAGGGTTGCAAATCAAATCACATGGCTTGAGACTAAAAATTCCTCAATCCCATTGGTTGCATCTAAAGACTTGTTGTTGTTTGGAAAAAAGAATAGAAAATTCTTCCAAATTTTTTCATTCATCATTTTATTAATATTTTGATATTTTCAATACTATTTCCATGTACTGGAAATTACCATGCAACTTGCCAGGCTTTTCCAGAATTTTGTAAAAATCTTCTTAAGCGTGCAATTCTTGATTTGAAAGCTTTAAAAAAGGAGATTATTTTACTTGCTACTTACAGTCATAAATGTGAGCATTGAGACCAATGATTCCAATGCATCTGGTGTGCAGATAACATCCCCATCAACAAGTACATGAAGAACTTTTGGGAGGTGGATAATATCATAAAGAATAAAGGCTCAAGTCACTTAAATCTTTGATGCAAAAATTCAAGCAGGTTTTTGAAACAGAATGTCCTGCTAAACTCTAGCTAGAAAAAAACACTTGGAACAGACGGAAATTTTATGTAATTATATTATTAAACAAAGACTAAACTGTTTATGAATGGTATAATCAAATGAAAATCCAAGTCAAAGAGCTTCTCCAGATTGACATTCTTTGGCTCCTTCTGATTCTCAATGGTGTCAGTGATCCTCTTGAAAATTTCAGACAGCTGAGCAATGTGTCCTGAATTTAATTCCTGAATTAAAAAATGAATGATTATAAGCAAGTTCCTCCAAATTGCATTGATAGGAATCCCCTGAGGAACAAAACCAATGATGTACCATTCATAACACTGCAACAGGCAACATTAAGAGGTAATTATCCCACTCAACAATACTATACTGATAATAGCTACCCCATCCTTAAGTCTTTGACTAGGTATCTCTTCTAGATCCAAAGACAACTGTGACTAAGTCTCAATGTTTGCAAGATTTTTTATTTTTTCCTCATTTTCAGTGTAACAACCCAATCAATTTAAAGTTGAGAGAACCAAAGAATAGTTTGTGAATCATCAGCCTTTAGCTTGAGATTTATGAACTTTTTGGGTGCGTTCCACTAACACCCCATGAAGGTTACTAGCCCAGTAAATTGATAGAAAGGATGGCTAGATAATGACAAGTGGATATCATAAAAACATAAGCAAAAAGCTTAGTGATACATTGAAGGATTAGTTTTTAGCTAATCAGAGTGGGTGTGGTGTATCAGCTTCTTTGTAGACATATTTTCTTTGTGGTTGAGGTTTCCTACCCTGGTTATGAATTCAGAGAATTCTTTTACTGAACTCTCACAAGGGTTTTCAAGCAGCTCATGACACACATTGGCTGAGTAGTCCTACAAACCACAACATGAAAATTAATACTGTTAGTACATAGGAAAGGCAAACTCATAACATAAATTGCAACAATAAGAAGAACATGTTTTTAAGATACTGAATTTGCATTTGTAGCGACTGAATTAACTTAAGTTTCATGAACAACGTCGCTGATTAAGAGTTCTCACCTAAGATCTACAATTCACAATTATAGTAATTCAAGGAGATGAAATACCTCCTCAATAATCCACTTGATTGAGGCGTGAAGTAAGACAGGAAAGTGAAAGCCGCAATGCAAGGAATCATTAAATAAGAGTCTATTTCATAACAGAAATAGTGTTAATTATTACACCACATGAAACAGGGAAACAAAGCCATATTTTTTTTGTTTGAAGAAACGTTTTTGGGGCTCTTTCTTGGTGTAGGAGACGCAAGACACGTCTCATACATGCACCGCCTCATATCTTAGAGGTTAATTAACCTATTGTTTTCATCGTTTTCCTCGTTCTTTTGCCTATTATTTTGTTCGCTATTGTTTTACGTCAACTGAGTCATCTAAGCCTAGTGAGAAGGTTTTCGCTACCTTTTAAATGGCCAGGAAAGAGAGGAAAACGGGGAATTTTTTTACGTAAGGGCATAAAACTTAAGGTGACAAGGAAGCTTAAACTTGTATCACTGAAGTTTTCAATTCGTTTTGGAAACGTTTCGTACCGAAGAAATTCTATCTTCTAAAAATCTTTCCTTAAATTTCATTAAACCGATCTTTTGACCTGCAGTTCAACAAGCGTATGGACTTAAAATTAGAATTTAACACATATCACGGTTAGAAATGTTATTTATATGAAATGCACTAACAAAATTATTTCACAGCTGGACTCGCCTTCGTACGCTCGAAAGGTTTACCTCGATTTGTTTATCGCTTGCAAGTGAGCTCACAGCATAAATATTCTCATCTTCTCTGTACACAATTGCAAAAAAATTACTTACCACTCCTTTCTCCATGAAAATAAAAAGATTTAGTCCCTTTAACAAAAAAGACCAAATAGTTTGCTCGCTATGAATGAAACTACCACAATACTCAGGAGACGACTGTGTCGCTGTGACAGACAAATTTCCCGCCAAGCAGTTGTGTTCCATATTTGGCATGACATTTGGTATGAAATAATACACTGGCGTGGACGCTTGGATATTGGACATGGCTTGGACACGTTGCACCAAAATATGCTTAGAAAGACTTTCCTGTTTCAGTTTGTATCTGCTTCCTGGGTCTATAAGCAAATTAAAAATAGCATTTTCGCCACTAATGTCGAGTCAACAAAGCGTAATAAAATTGAAGAAACATGTTAAATTTGGCTGTTCCCACGCTTCATATTTCATGACTTCAATGGGAAGTATGAACATGCGCAAGCAGGCATAAATGGCCGCATAAGTATATACGCACGCACAGACGTAGGCACTGTCGCATCTACGGCGCATATCGAATAAATTAGACGTTAACAAAATCAATTTCGATTCCACAGTCGCCGTCATCAAATATAACTGGACAACGCCTATGATAATTGCTAGAATTTTTATTTCAAATAACGTTAGTAGGTGGATCTTTAGGACTGTGTGTACTATATTTTAAGTTTTCATAGTCACTGCATTCGTGATCAGTTGATTAAGTTTTAAACGATAGTAGTTATTTAAAATAGGCGACCCGATCAGCTATGCTGATAGACCTAACCGTGATTTCAGTCAGTCAGTCAAAAAATTACGGACTTACCTCCAAAAAATTAAAAAAAAGACTCTATCGTGCACTTTTGAACGCTTGTGTTCGATAACGGGTGCCATCGTCAAATTTTGGACGTTTTCATACTTATGATAAACAAATCGGAAAACAATGCGAATATCACTCGTATTACTACAGGTCGAAACGGACTCTTCTGAGTCCTGCTAGAACCACTAAGTATCGTCTATTTACGGACGCAATCATCCGATCTCGGACGCCATCGTCGAATTTCTGACGCTGCTGTCCAATTTCGGACGGCATCATCTGATTTCGAACTCTATCTTCCGCTTACGAATTTCTTAGTCCGCTTTTGGACGTTATCGTCTGATTTCACCCAAAACGAACCTAAGGAGGCATTTATTTGTAAATTGAAATGTGCTTCTTCTCCTCGAAACTTCTTCTTTTCCCCTCTAAGCCTGACCGAGTTTCACTGACTAGGACTAAAAAGTGGAAACGTGTTTTGACTTTTTTACATAAAGAACTCAAGACCTTAAGTAGTGAATTAGACACAATCTGACATGGTTTGATGCTACTCTGGTTAAAACATTTAATGAATGTAACCGAGAGGTTACAATTCATAGGTAATTTGGTATTAATAACTGAGTCGAAAACGTAAATTGGCCACTGTTAAGAGTCAAAAGGCTGACGTTTCGAGCGTTATCCCTTCGCAATCGCTCTGACGAAGAGCTAACGCTCGAAACGTCAGCCTTTTGACTCTTAATGGTGGCCAGTTTACGTTTTCAACTCAGTCTTTAACACCAAATTACCTGTTATACTCTCTCACCGACGAGGCACCACAGTTTCTTTAGAAACTTACCCTCGTTATACAATTCATAGGGTCTATAAATTGTAACTTCTCATTAAATCTTTCAAACTAGAGTAGCATCAAACCATGTCTGAATGTCCACCTGGTTGCCTTGTGAACTTTAATATATTATCTTAGACATAATCTGTGCATAAATCCGTCTGACGGTGACCAGTAACACGAGAAAGAAAAAGTAACTTGAAATAAAAAGCTATCACGGCAAACTAGCTTCAGCGTTCTTCTTCGCACAAATTGTTAGCTTTTTTTCATACGTAACATTTGTATCTGCGGAATGTTTTTGTAGCGCATCAACGTAGTGCTATATTTGATCATACCGTATGTGTATTAATATTGGTCAAATTCCTATAAAATAAAGACCCGGCTTGTTATTTTAGCCACGCTCTGTGCTCATATTACCCCAAGTTCCACTAAAAATAACCTCAAGTTTGTGCTGTGGAGATTTTCCTTATTTGCTTTTGCTTTCAAGAGATCGCGTTTTTTAGTTTTATACTCATGTATTTCTGCTTGTAACTCTTGTTTTCTCGCCTCCAACACGGCAAACTTATCGTCGACAATCTCAATTTCCGTATTGATCGCGTCGACTTTCTTTCTCAATATTAGAAATTCTTTGAGCTGAGAATCGAAAAATTCATTCCTTAATGCCTCTAATGGAGCCCTTCTTGAGCCAAAAGTTTCCATTTCTCCAAATTCTTTGGCATTGTTGTTGTTATCAACTCCAGTTTCGTTATATCTCTCTTCGTTCATGCTCTCCAATTCGTGTGCTACTTTAACCATCTTCCTCTCTGCTCTTGATGTCAACTCTATAGCTCTCTTTAGCCCTTCTCTTATCTCAACAATCAGCCCGTGAAATTCGATGTTTTTGTAAGCAAGCTGTAGTTTTTCAGCCTTAGTTCGGCATGCCTCGTTCGTTTCTCGCAGTTTTTCTCGACAAGCTTGAATTTTCCGACTGATCGAAATGGCACGCTTCATGTTTTCACTAGTCCTTTGATTTTCTTCGTTTAACCACCCCTGTGCACTTGAATACCTTTGCTGAGCTTCTTGTATTTGCTGCTCTAACTGATCCATCTGGTTCTTAACGTTCATATCTTAAAAAGTCTAGGTAACACAAATAACTTCTCCTTCCAGATCATGCAGGAGTTTGTGAGGGTGCTCCGCGATCCAAACTCAACAGCTCAGTTAAAAATAACACCTCATCCCACTTTGTCATTGGTCAGATACCCACCTAATTGATTACAATATCAAATGATCAAATTTACATAATTGATAGGGGTGATTCCAATATCGTTTTAATTTCATACATATCAGTCCAAAAACATTTTAAAAGATGCTTCGAGCATGTTCCAAAAAAAATATTTTTGAGTATTGCTGGATCGACCATTCCTATGTCTAAAGCACAGGTGAAAAGATGTCGATGTACTTGACATACGTCTGTTTAACAAACCAATCTTCTAATCAATAGCGACATTTGGATTCTTAGGTCATCACTCCAGGAGTAGACCCCAAAAATTCCGTCTAAAGAAGTGGCTTTCATGGATGGTGTGGGGGCATGTTTGCATCGCCAACCCCTTCCCCCTCTCCCCTTCCTCCAGTCGTTTAGTAGTTTAAAAAAGGGATTCGCGCAATGACAGAGCTGTTTATCGAGCGTGGGCTCAGCTTACCAAAGCGGTTGGTTGCTTAGCAAAGGTAAAGCGGGAGAATATCTCACCCACTCATTATGCTCGTTCTAGCGAATATTGGTGCAGGAAAATATCAATCAAACTTTGGCGACACCGTTCAATAACACGAAAACGATTTGGTATCAAAAGCCACACGGAACTACATCTACCTTAGCAACACACGGTGTAACAAAGCCGACTTTACTTCTAGACACAATTCAGGAGTATATACATCAAACAGTTAAATTACAGGAGTAACAAGCCATCTACATAAGGCGTCTTAGTTAAGCCACTTCAGTTACACGATTGGGCAGAATTTTGCCTGGTGATGGTGATGCCTCAAGTAAGACGTATATAAAAAAATGAACGTTTGATTTTATTATGGTCAAATCATTTTTCTCTATTCGGGTAAGTCAATTACAAGATCATCATCACCCTCATATATGTTGCCATGGAAACTTGACGAACCAGGAGAATCTTCATTTTCACTGCAAGAAATGATAAGAAGCAGTAGGTCAAAAGAAAAACCTTGAAGTCAAGAGTTCGAATTCCTTTTAGAGACTAACCTTTCTAAATGTTTGACTTAATTATCGACATAGTACGATCAGTGATGGCCTACTATTTTTTAACTGCCCCAACATTTTTGTGAGTTTTTTGAAAGATCAGATATAAGAAATGACCTGCATGTGGGCCACCAATCACTGAACTGAACTAAGAGCCATGAAGCCAATCACAGTATTGAATCTAAATCAGTGCAGCCAACAGATGTGGGGAATAGCTGTTCAGCAAAACGACCTTGACCTGGTCCAAACTTGTTTGAACCAGTAATTTTAAACACATATTGAGAGTGAAACACAACTGACCTGTCTCTTTCATCATCTTCTACATTAAACATCTCCTGTGGTAGTTCTTCAGTGGCCTGTGGCACCTGAGAAGTTGTACAACTGCTTGACTCAGAAAGTTGATTAAGGCGCTCCAGTTGTTGCTAAAAGCAATGGAAATGAAAGTGAAAACAAAATCTTTCTCAATACATGTTCTTCAAGGAAACAGGGTACAATTGTCTGGACCTCACATATAGTACACATCACTGTTGTTTAGCTGAAGGTGTCTTGACCCCCCTCTCTCCCCCCACCAACCCCTTGATAGAATGCTTGTCCATGGCAATTTACCCCCAAGCATTTCTCAAGGTTTCCCTGTCAATTTGCCATCACCCAGGTATGCTCCTGGGAGTCCTCTATGTTAACTACTAGGCCACAGGACCTCATGCAAAAAAGTTTAGTTCTTTTTTTAAATTTTTATAAAAAAGATTAGTTTATTTTTCATTTTTACAAAAAAGTTGTACTGTATATAAATTAAGAAGTTGAGAGAGGTAGTATCACTGCTTACTTGGTCCACCATGGAAGAGTTGTCTCGTTGTGACTCCAGAATAGGTTTGGTGTTTGTGTTCAGTTGTTTAGGTGGTGTCCCTCCTGCTACAAGCAAACAAAATGTCAAACACTGTCAATTACAATTTACCCCAACAATTTTGTCAAGCTTACTCAACAGATCACTAGTTCCAATTCATACTCCTGGGTGGAGACTGGCAGTGTGACACACAATGACACACAATGACCAGGCCAGTGCTAAATACCAGAACCCTTAATCCCTTGACCCCTTAGAGTGATTAGTATCTAATTTCTCTTTACAATATTAACCCTGAATTATAGATTGAGTTCATGAGAATAAAGGAAATGATCATCCACTAAAGCAGTCTTAATTGTTAGACAAATTCTGCCAGCCAGCACCTTAGGAAATGTATGGAGGAAAGTATGGAGAATGTGCTCACTGTCTTTTAAAATTAACACGAATGACGTTATTGACTTATTTCCTGCTTTATCCTGTACTTTAGGGCACTTCATTTTTTTTAATTTGCTACAGCCTCACCCAATTCAGTTGTCCTCTAGGTCAAAGTTTAGCAAATGGCCATTAACTGTTGCATTTCAGCAACACACTACTTGGTTAAATTAATGAAATAATGATCCAATGGTTGTGGGTTACAACTAAACTACAATGTAAGAATGCTTTGTCAATACCTTGCTTAGAGATGCGTATAACTGATCTATGCGCAGAACAGTACCCTGACTTGGATCTTTTACTGATTCTCTCTTGACACTGATCACCGGTACCCTGTAAAACATAAACCAAGTATCAAGTTTTAACTGATCTCCAACCACCCCTACCATTTACCTACAACCAAATAGTTTGAAACAGTAATCCTTGGTTTACTGCATACAGGAACTGCACTCTGCAGCAGAGGCTTAGTCTGAAGACTGGGATGCTCAACAGCCTTAGCAGAAATTGGCCCTGAATATCTGCATGTGCCACACTTAACAAAGTCTTCTTGTTGATAGCTTTCCTCATTATTGTCACCTGACTACTTGAAAATGTACTAACACTGTGAGGAAAAATTGTCCATAAGTCATTCCTGAGGGTGAAAGATTTAAATCAAATGCAAGGGGGAAATGTTTTATGACTTACATTATTTACATATTGACATTGTATACTCTTCTTATTTGAAGCAGCCGCTAATTCACCTCCCTGCGAATAGAATTCAAAATTATGAAAATAGATTTTGAAAAAAATTTCAATAAAAACACAAAAAATGATTGGAGTTTGCCCTAAACAAGGCAGGTGAGCCAGCAAAAAAACTTACTGCACTGCTTGTTCCATCTGAAGATGGATAGGGAAACATGCCCATACTATCTGCTGGAATTCCATGATTTACAACCTGTGTCTTCTTCGGTCTACTGCTAAGGACAAAACATAGAACACCATATATATGTACAATTCCAAATCTGCCACTAACTTGGGGAAACTAAATCAGCACCTTTTAGTTCCCCTTTCAGGAAGCATCTCAGACACTAATTTAAAGATTCACAAAACATTTCAATTATGATAAAAAATAAATTTAGTACTTGTTGCTTGATGGTGGTGGATTTTCTGCAATGGGTACCTGAAAAATATGTCAGTGATTTCTTAAAAACACAAATACTTTTCTAAGTTTGAACTGTGATAATGAAGAAGGGATGATGAACTCATATAAACTCATTCCTACAAAGATGAAATTGAATTTTGTTGGCACATCATCAATGTGCCATCTTCACTTGGCATTAAAAAGAGAAATTCAAAGTTCACTTTTCAAATATTTGAAATCTATATTACATTACCTTTGGTCCCTCACTATCACTGACTCCTGAGGAAGATGCTGTACCTTCATCATCTAGAAACATAAAAAGTAATTCATTAATGTGTACAACTTTTACAGTGTATTTGATTAATTCTCTGTTCACTGGGGCTCTGTTAACAAACCTTGTTCAGAAAAGAAATAATTATCAAGATGCTGAAGTCAAAATACACAGATTCTTCAGAATTATGCACTTAATGCCTCCTGCCACCTATTACTTGATGTGAAACAGGGTCATCAAAGGTTATCGTCTATGATTTTCAGGCTCACGAACACTCTGGAAGGAGAGGGTTTTTTAAAAAACAATCATCTTATCTACAAGATATTTGTATCCCCAATCTGAAAAGCTCAGTTTACCCTTAGCTATTAGACTGAGACTTGGAAAAAATTGTCATTATTATCAAGGGCTTTCAACCTGCAGTCAAGCAAATACAAGTGTGGCTGTTTCCTCACCAATGTTCAAACCCAGGCCTTTTAATTTGTAGACCCAGTGAGTGAGAAGCAAGAAGAAACAAAGTTTGCACACATATTAAAAGTGTCACCTACCAGATGAGGAATGATCCACATTTTCATAATGCAGAAGTCTATCAAGCAAAAAGCTAAGGAAAAATTTATCAGGAAAAAAGTCATTTAACAGAATGATGTTATAAGCAGATAAAAAATTTATCAGGAAAAAAGTCATTTAACAGAATGATGTTATAAGCAGATAAATAGTACATCTCACTTGTCAAATATGAGTTTAAGAGACTAATCTTAACCTTTTGACACTCAAGATCTGATTGTTAATTCTCTCCTCTAGTTCCTAGACATTTCCTTGTAAATTAATTAAGAGAATTTGGCTTCAGACCAAGAAGACAACTGGATAATGTATGTATATTATAGGGGAAAGTTGCAGGTTAATCACTCCTAGGAGTTAATGGGTTAAACAATTGTCAGATTGGAGTAATACCCTCACAAAAAAGAACAAAAGTTAGAAAAAGTCTACCCAGAGGCAGGCTTATCAGTAACACAATCATGACATACAGTTCTCAAGACAAATTTGGTGCATTCCATATCACAAACACCAAACACAAGTTATTACATCACCCAACACATTGCAAATGACCAGGGATAGGTTCTTCTCACTTTTAGCCAAAAAAGTTTGCAGCTAGAAAATAAACTTATTGAGGCTTCTCAGGAAGAGGTTTTTGAACTTCTAATTTTAAATGCTTCTGTCAGATAAGCCAAAATGTTACCACTATGAGCCAATTCTTTCTTCTCTGCAGGTGCATTTTTTTTAGGGCTATAATGTTATGTGTCTTAAAATTCCATGTACACACCTTTTGTCTCTAGAAACACGAAGTAGCTTCTTTTGCACTCTTCTGAGCTCTTCTTGGAAGTATTCCTGTTCCTGTAAAAGAAGACGTAAACCCTTTAAGTCCCATATCAATTCAAATCAAGCAGATAATTAATGAGAATTTCAGTTAAGAGATCATTTGTTTATCCAATACCAAATTGTTCAAACTAGCATCATAAGAATTGAATCAGAAAATAGTAAGGAGAATTAATAATGAGATCTTTGGAGTGGAAAGGTTAAAATAAGATAGTATTTTCCAGGATAAACAAACAAAGAAAAAACACGCATTTATATATATTATTGTGTATTATCTATAACTTGAGTCAAAAAGTAGATATTCAAAAAGGTGTTATTCAACTTACATAAAGCAGGAATTTAAGTTTTCTTTTCAAAGTTTTGTATTTGTCTCTGTAGTTTGGGCTGTCTGTACCATGGCTATTGGTCTCTGATAAATAAAAGAGAAATAAAAATTAGTTCATACATTTAGGTGGGTTTCAAAGCACACCTTAAAGTTACTGCAGCTACAATCCTTAGGGACAGTTAAGTGGCATATTTCATTATATAACTATAAATTTTTTCCGTTTACAAACAATCTTTCCCATCCACTTAATTGGAATACGGTGGAATACGACCCATCCACATTTGCCATGTAACACACACAGAACACAGACTGAGTCATCCCCATGCATATAAGTCCAAATTATTGAGTGCTTTGTCGTCTTGAAGTATGATTCATGGATTTTCCAATCATCAATGCTTTATCATACAAAAGTACACGAGGGAAATCTCCATGTACAGATACAAGCACACGCGAGAAAACAATTGCTCAAAAAATGATGGTTTGTACCAATAATTCCAATCTTGGAAATCAAGCGTATTTTTATCCTCTTCTTAGCCCTTCTAGAACGAGAGCATGTGTTGAGAAAGTGAAAGAGTATCCTTAAGCTTTGTCATAAGCTTATCTTCTTTCTATGCAGCTCAGGAAACAAGTGCTACAAAGCTGCAATAGCTTCGATTCATTTTTTTAGCAAATCAGGGCTATGAAACACTTATCAAGACTCAGAAATATAGAGGAAGAATCGATTTTTAACTGAGTCAATAAATTTTCGTCCGAAGTGTCTAAACAGGTATAAAAAGAACAAAGTATCGCAATCAAACTAACCCGGAACAGGCATCATGGCCGCCGCCATCAAAATATTGCGCGGCGGGATACTGGGCTCCACACTCTTTTACCCGGGGTGGTGACAGATTATTTCGTGCGTAGGCGGCTGCAAGGGTAACTTTAAAAATGCAGGCCTTTATGTATTCGATGATTGACTGCATCGCTATATTTCATTCGGGAAATTGTTAGGGATGGGGACAAGAGAGTTCAAATCAGTGGATTCAGGTGGATTTAAACTCTTTCGCTCTTAACGCCTCCCCCCCCTCCCCTGCACCCCGTCACTTCACTTTGTCAACCGCGTCTCCTTTCAAATCCATGACAGTGAGCAAACAGATGAAAAGCTTCCAGATGAACAAACAGATAAAAACTAGAAAAGCACTTCATAAGAGAGTTCCTCTTTTACTGCCTCACGAGACTCAGAGGTACACCATGAGCTGCGTGGAAAATGGTCGCGCGTCACGCGATTGCAACGAGGAGGCTCCCCAACGAGAAGTAAACGAGATAAACTCCATCAATTCGCGGGTATTCGTCGCCTGATGGAGAAAGAAGCTACTAAGCTACCTCTGGTTCTCTGCAAAGACCGTGTGAAAAAGTTCTTTACAGCTACATTACACTATTCCTTTGAAAATTTATGTCACAGAACTGCTTATGAAAGAAATGAAATAACTGTAATAAGGAAATAATTCCGAGCCCTTTGTTTATGTATGATAAGTTTCTTGGCAAAGAGAAAAATTCCCGAAAGTACTTCCCGCATCGTTATCGAATTCAAGAAAATAGCTTCCTCGTTAAAAAAAAGAATCTGTTTTCGTTTAAGTTTATTCACATTAATTACAACACCTGCCCTACTAATGACAAGATCATGTTTTGTTGTGACCGAAAAGGAAATTCTTTAAACTGATTGATTGGTGACAGACCAATTAATTATTTCATTGGACGATGTAGTGAATTTTCATCACCAGGTTTCTTTAACTTGAATGATACAGTACGGAGATGTAATATTTTAATCATAATGCGGATGCGCTGCGATAATAGTGTGTTATGTTTAGCGGATTCAATAGATCGTATGCAGACAGGTGAATTACAGACCCTAAAAACCATCTATTGGTTCCCAAAGTATTTGTTTTAAACCCTTATTAATGGTTCGGTTAGAGTTTATGGGATAATTATTTTGTTATCTTTACAGCGAATGTGCCATGCTTCATTTAGAATTCGTAGAAAAGGTGAGTAAACTGGAGGTGTCTGCTTAAAATCATGGGAGAGAAAATTCAGCAGTTGAAATCGTGCATTCTAGACTTAAGAAATAAAATCGAGGTTGCAGAAGAGAAAATTCGAAGGGCGACGAAAGCTTTGGGGATAAAACAACGGAGATGTGAAATGTTATGGGAAGACGCCACATATAAACGCCGAAAGCTTGCAATTAAAAAAGAAAAGTTGAAGAAGACGTACGAAGATCTGGAGGCTAACCATTCGAAACTGAAACAAGTGGACGAATTACTCTACACGAATACCATGGTTATCAATAAGATCAAAGACCTGGAGACGCGCAACACTCAAAAAAATTTTTCGCTGGAAGTTTTGTTGAAAAAAACACGAGCGAAAGCTAACGAACTTGAAAACAAAGCAAGCGACCTCCAGACACAAGCTAAACACTATAACCGGGAGATTAAAACAGCAAATTTCATCGAAATGAGAGCGCAGAGGAAATGCAGCGATTTGGAAAGCAAGCTTGTTGCAAAAAAGAATCTTTTGGAACGACTGCGTGTAAAGCGCGAGAGATTTTACGAAGAAGAAAAAGATCGTATTGTTCAAGCACACGCGCTGGGTGAGAAAATCAAAGAGAGTACTATACGAGCTGAAGCTGCAGAGAGAAGGTTGTATTTGCTTGAAAATAAAGTTTCAAATCTGCGACAAGAGCTTTACAAGCAAACAGGGGAAGCTAGGAAAATGTTCGTGCTGAAAAACGAACTAGAACACTTATCCCTTGAATATTAAGGTCAAGGAAACTTCTATGAGCATAAGTCCTGGTTTTCCTTCACGCGTTCCATTATCGTTCGAACGTGAACTGTCTGTACTCGATCGTGACAATTTCTGCAACACAATCAATTTCTTTTGTGCTCCTAAGGGTGTCATCTCCTCCTCTTTCCACTCTTTTTGTTTCTCTTTTCGTTAGCTCTTTGGCTTCGTAAGTCTTTCTTCATTCGCTGGTCTACGATTTTGTAAGGACCTTTAACTCCAGCAGGTCTCTTCATTCTCTTGGCGGCTGAAAAAAGAGGGCATAACTTTTAAGGAAGAAGCAACAAAGCGATTTTTAACAAAGTAAAACATTCCAATCCACAAAATACGTGGAATAACAACAAGATTGGTAGCAACGACAATTCACTTTTCGAAACGTTGACAATTTAATGAAAACTAGCTTCCGCAAAAAGAAGGTGGACAGGATTTCAGTGTGAATCGCAGTAATAACATGAATAACAGCGACTTATGGCCTCGTTTTTTTGGGGTCTTCACGGATATCATATCCCAAAGCAATGTATTGTGATTGGATAAACAAGCACGCCCACGCAACAGGACTGGGCCAATAAGAGCACCCGTACGGTGCAGACCGACTGACGACTTGAATGGATTGCAGTCCATTTTCCCTTGCATTAAGATGGTTTTAAGTTTCTGATTTCCTAAAATTCTGCACGCCTGTTCGACGTTTGTACCAAAAGAGGTTGCTTACATTTTATTGTAGCATGAATAAAGGGGTAAGTTTCTAAAGAAACTGTGGTGCTGCGTCGGTGGGAGAGTATAGCAGGTAATTTAGTGTTAACAACTGAGTTGAAAACGTAAATTAGCCACCGTAAAGGGTAAAAAAGCTGACGTTTCGAGCGTTAGCCCGTCGTCAGAGCGATAGACGAAGGGCTAACGCTCGAAACGTCAGCTTTTTTACCCTTTACGGTGGCTAATTTATGTTTTCAACTCAGTTGTTAACACTAAATTACCTTTTATTGTGGCAGTTTAATTTAATATAAAATATATGCTTTACCTTGGCTTTTCTTGGCGACAACATACTTCACTTCTTTCCGTTTACTTCCAACAGCTTTTTTGTACAAACTGCAAATATCAAGTAACAAAATTTATTATAGCCAGCGATACAACCGCTTGTCTTCGCCGCTAAAGCCTTAAAACTTCTGAGCATTAAATTCCACGCCTACCTTCTAATCTGATTCATTTTTTCTTTTTCGGACACATCGACGGTATCACAAATAGCTTCTGCTTTTTGACGGGCTTTTTCGAGTCGTTTCATTTCCTGAAAAGAAATGATTAAACGAGAGAATGAAAAACCACTCGAGAAACTCTTACAGCTTCACTACAGCTAAGTTGTACGAGCCGAGAACCCTGAATCCTAAGCAGAGATATATAACTGAGAATTCTACGTCATTTACATTCGCCCAAAAGTTTTCTGCTTACTTTAGGTTTCCAGATGCCGTTAACATAAAATTTTTTGGCATGTGAGTCTAGTCGCTCCCAACGAAAGAGCTTATCTCAGTTTCAAACCTTAGGACGAAAAAATGTACTGCATTACTAATACCGACCCCTACACGTGATGCCAATTGGGATGCCACACAATAGCCTGCCAGCTGGTACTCAGTCACACTTCCGGGTAGAGAGAAAGAGAATGTGAAAATGCACTGCCTTCCTCAAGACCACAATACAGTTCGTAACACGATTAGGGCTAAAACCTACACTTCACAGACAGGGGTGTAGAGCTGGCCGCACCGTATTCCATCTCAGACGATTGGATAACCTTTAATTTGAACTATTTCTATGCCCTGAAGAAGCGAAACTCTTAGGAAGAAAGTACACCTTTTAACGTGTCCTGCGAAATGGATGTGAGCTGCTTCTACACTACATAAACAAGTAATATGTATGTCAATATATCCATACCTTTCGTTTTTTCCTGGCTTTTGCTTCAGCGATCTTTTTAACAGACCTTGAATTGATTTCTTTCATTTTTGCTCTGTATTCCTCCACGATTTCCTTGCTGACCGGTATTTGCCGCTGGTAGTGCTTCGTTTCATCTTCCACGAACCAAGAGGGAAGGTTATCGTCATTGAAGGCCCACCTTACGAAGGTACAAAGGATTGTTAGGAATAACGAGTGAATATGAACAAAAGTTGGAAGTGTCTTCTGGTCGTTCTCACCTATGATATCCTGAATCAATGATGTCCCTTTTATTTTTTCGCGAAAAAGCCATCTTATGTCCCAGTGCTAGAGCTTCTGGGGTGAGCTTCTTCAAATATTCACCTATTGAGTAAAACAAATACCATTCACCGTCAGAACGGTGGACTAGTTGTAAGTAGGATGGACTCTGGGCTGAGAGGTCTGGGTTCGAGCCTTAACCATGTCATTGGGTTGTGTTCTTCTCAAGTGTCTCTCCCCATCCGGGGTATAAAAGGGTATCAGTAAACTATCAAGGAAGCCTGACGTAATACTAAGGGTTGGGAGGGGGGGGGGGGGGGG